ACACACACACACACACACACACACACACACACACACACACACACACAGCTTTATTAAGTGGTAATTCACACCTCACATGATTCTCCTTTTAAAAGGACACTGTATTCAGAGAGTTGTGTAACTGTCACCACAATCACTTGTCACCCCAAAGGAAGCCTTGTGTCCATTAGTGGTCACTTTCTCCCCACCTTCCAGCCTAGACAGCCACTCATCGACAGCACAGCTCTGATTTGCCTGTTGTCAACTCAGTCTTTTCAGCGTGGGCCCTTTGCTTCTGACTCCAGCAACTCTCACTGAAAACCCTCCATGGTTCTTACCTGGGGCGTGTACAGTCCCAACCCAGTGCTAGGCTGGTACCTAGTACTACCTGATGTAGCCCATGCAGACAGAGTGAGTACACAGGACAACTTAGAGTTATTATTATTATTTTACAACTTACGTTTGTAAAGTTTGGATGTGTATGCCTTTTAATTAATGAGGACAAAGTTTATATTCAAAATATATTTATGTATTGATATATAGGTACACTGTAGCAGTCTTCAGACACACCAGAAGAATGCATCGGATCCCATTATAGATGGTTATAAGCCACCATGTGGTTGCTGGGAATTGAACTCAGGACCTCTGGAAGAGCAGTCAGTGCTCTTAACCACTGAGCCATCTCTCCAGCCCCTAGGGTATGTTATCTGTAGAAGTTAGGCCTGGTTCTTCCTCTCAGACCCATGCTCCCAGAAATAAGACTCAGAAGCAAAATACATTTACATATACCTTGGTCATATAGCTAGGCTCTTCTCTGACTACATCATAACTTAAAATATCCCACTTACTCTAATCTACATCTGCCACGTGGCTGGTTACCTGTGTTCAGGTGCCGTGTGTTTGTCTCCTCACATCTTCCCAGGCTAATCTCTCATGCCTGGCACTAACCCAGAATCCTTTCTGCCTCCTGGATGTCCCACCTTCTATTCTACCCTTTCTAATAGGCCATAGACTTTTTTTTTTAATTGACAGATGATGCAGCCATACAACACACAAGTTACTCTCTCCAAAGTTATCTATCGACTATCCATTCTCACATCACTTACGTTGTTTCAGTTTCAGTTGTTAGGAATTGGTATACACTTCAGAGAACTTAGGTTTAAGGATGAAGGAAGAGCAAAGCTTGGATAGTCTGACTGAATTCAGACAAGATGTAATACATGCCATACATGGAGGGTGGGTGGAGCTTTTCGTTTTGACCTTGCCATGACCCTGGTTGTTGGCTTGGGAGGATCATAGTGATGTCCTTCTATCAGAGAGGCTTCATCTGGGGTGACTTCTTCCCTTCAGGCATGGATGAGACCTAGTGGTGAGATGAGTTAGGGTTGGTAAGTTAGTCTCTTCCTTGGTAGGATGGGTAGGGCTCTCCTACTCAGTGTGTAACTTGAGTTTATGTCCAGGGGCTAAAACTTGGGTATCATTTTAAACTTGCCCTTCCTAATTATTGTTGGTTTTGTTGTGGGTATGGTTACTCTTTCTTAGACTGCCATGAACATTCTGTCTGTACCAGAAGGCAGTGTTTCCGTGTGTCTATTCCCTGAGAAGCCATTAGGAAGACTTGAGTAGTTAAATTTAAGTTTGGAAAACTGCTGTGTAACATGTTTCTTTTGAAGCTTAACGTTATAGTAATTTTTTAAAGGCTCTGAGAATTCTTTTAAGGGAACAAACAAGTATTTTCTGGACCAGCCAGATAGATTAGTAGGTAACCCTGTTTGCTGCCAAGCCTGACGGCCTGAGTTTGAATCCTGGGACCCACATGAGGCTCAAGGTCGTTCTTTGACTTCCATCTGCATGCTATGGCATGCCTTGCCTATATATACGCACACATAAATAATTTAAGAAACTAAATCTTTTTCTATATGTTTCTAAATGTATTTCCTCACATGACCATATTTCCAATTTTCAATAATGTTTATTACTGATTTCCAGTTCTGTTGGAAGAGTGTGACAGGTTCTGTCTCAGCTAATTCTCACAGGTGTAATTGCCGAGCTGAAGCGGATACATGTTTACAAGGCTCATGTGCTGGAACTGAGAACCCTGTCCTTTATTCAGGACTGAGAAAGGAGTTTAAGGGTCTCAGCTAGGGTTGTCATATCCCACCTAACTCCATTCAATGTGTCCTTCACTGAAGGTGGGCAGGCAGAGCTGCAGAGTCAGGGACTGTTGGAAGCAAAAAATTATTTCCTTTTTTTTAATAAGATGCATAGTTGGTAGGTAGGTTATACTACCCATGGGACTGTTGGGCTGTTTTGTATCTCTTGAGTGAGGACATCATTCTGCAGGTCCCAGGGAAAACGGACATAGCATTGACCAAGGCTGGGAGTGATATGGGACCCCACATGAGCCCTGGGTTCACTCTAATCCATGCAGAGTCTCTTCCAGGTATCATTGTGTGAGCTAGGTCTCACCTACAGCACATGCTGAGAGCAGAGGGGGTGGCCCAGTCTGAGGCTGAGTCCATGGCCTGTAAGTCTGTGCTCCCACCAGCTACAGTTAGAATCTTCTTTATAGTTCTGTGTATCTGGGCCCCTTTTCTCCAGTGAGACTGTAAGGCATTGAAGGCAGGGCTGGTCTTTGCCTGCTGTTTTCTGACAGCATCATGTAATAGAGCTAAGCCCATTGGTTAGGGTTACTCAGTCGTGCCCTGGCTGGCAGTGCAGTTCCCAGAGGCACTGTGGGTAAGGGCAGGTGGTCTCACAGTAAAGCCACCGGAGCCTTAGGACCCTGTAAATAGTTAGACAAAGTTATATACTTTGAGCCCCCAACTGTGGCACAGCCTGATGTATTTTCCATGGTAAGACCAAATGTGTGTGTGTGTGTGTGTGTGTGAAAGTCTTGCCGTGGTTGGCCTCAAATTGTTGAATCTCCTAAGTGTGGGGATGGTTACATATGCCACCGTCCCTGCTTCAAAAATATTCTTTGAAAACAATGTAGTTTCTGTCTTTTCTTCGTTGGCTATTTTAACAAAACCTCTTGTGTTTTGGGTTTCTTTTCTTCAGAACTGGGAATTGAACCCAAGACCTTGCACATGTTAGGCAAGTTCTTGACCCCTGAGCTACACCTGCAGTTGTATTTTACTTTTGAGATATGGTTTTGCCAAGTTTCTAAGCTCACTTTGTCACCTAGGCAGTCCTTGAACCTGGTGCCCTCTTTACCTCAGCCTTCCAAGGACTGCTTCGTACTGTCAGGAAGAGTGCCTGGTATCTGGCTGCAAAAGGAGGGGGACTCTAAATGATGGTGACAGTTTGTTGCTGTCTATATTTATGCTCAACTTCCTTATTTTTCTGTCATTGCAGGTGATTTTCAAGGCCAAGTCAAAATATTCTCCAGAATTACTCAAATACCGGTAAGTACCCCAGCACGTTGCTTCTCAGGCAGGTGAAGTAAGTGTTTGCACATGGAGCCTGTTTTGGCAGCTGACATGTACACAGTTACTCCTCTCTAAACATCCAGACATCCCCAAAGAGCTCCTGTTTGCCTAATGGAATATGTTCATGAGAGCCTGTACATTGATAGGATTTGCAGGGGGCCTCTGGAAGAGCACACACACACACACACACACACACACACACACGCACACACACGCACACACACGCACACACACGCACACACACGCACGCACACGCACACACACGCACACACACGCACGCACACGCACACACACGCACGCACACGCACGTGCACGCACACACCCTCTCACATTTCCTCCAGATTTGCCTTGCACACTCTATCTACCTTCCTCAGCCTCCTGCTTGCTGGATTTGCAGGTATGCACAATCATGCTTGCTTCAAACACTATTTAAAATAATGTAGCTTTTGGTAGAGTGCTCACAAGTGTACATGAAGCCTTGCATTCAATCCCTGGCACATAAAAATAAGATGTGGTGTATACTTGTGATCTCTGGAAGAGTCCAGAGATTTCTGAAGGTGGAAGCAGAGGGGCCAGGAGTCCCAAGTCATCTCAGCTAGATACCAAGTTTGAGGCTGGTCTGGTTTGTTCTAGGAGCCTAGGAGAGTGACATGGTCTGAAGGGACATTGAGTGACATGCACGGTTTATGAGAAAGGTGACAGTACATGCTCCTCCTGCATCATCAGAGAAATTGGTCATTCTCCAAAGCTTAGAATGGTCAGATTTGGGTCAGGTATGATGGTGCATACCTGTAATCTCAGTGCTTTGGTGCTGAGGCAGGATCTTGCATTTGAGGCCTCTCTGTGCTGTGTACTGAATTTTGAGCTAATCTGGGCTGATGAGACCCCATTTCATCAAAGGCAAGCAAGAGTAGTCAGGTTTGGCTATGGGGACATAGTAAGGAAAGGCCTCAGGAAGGGCTGGGGCACAAGGCATTCTTTGTGTTTTGTGGGCTTGCCCCAAAGCACTCCACCGCCACCGGCACAAAATGCTGGAAAAGCGAATCATTGTGTCACCAAAGAAAGGTACACATATTTCATTTAAATATAATCAGCCTTAGTCATCCTTGATTCAACCATCCATGGCTCAAAAATACTAAGAAATGCGCTGGTGAGATGGCTCAGTGGGTGAAGGTGCTTGCTGTTAAGCCTGATGACCTGAGTTCTAGCCCCAGGACCTACATAGTAGTGAGAAGTAACTATGATACGTTGTCCTCTGATTTCTACCTGTGTGCTGTTGCACATGAACCCATACACATTCACACTGCACACACATACAAAATGTCAAAATAACCCCTCAGAAAAAAATCCTATCATTACCGAACATACATAGACAGACATCTTTCTTGTCAGTTATTTATATAGGGTATCATGCATGACATGGACTTGCAGGAGGATACATACGCATAAGGTCTAAGCAAATAAACCATCTTTTGTCAGGGTTGTCCAGGCATCCTTGGATTTTGGTATCTGGCATCCTGGAACCAATCCCTTGTAGGTACTGAAGTAATGACTGTGTGTGGAATGAGGATTCTTCAGGCGATTGTTATTCAACATTCTAAGAGTATTATTAATTTACTTAAATGCTTTTAATCGTGTGTGTGTGTGTGTGTGTGTGTGTGTGTGTGTATGCATATTTATGGGGATACCTGAGGAGGCCAGAGGTGTTCCATCCTCTGGAGCTGGAGTTACCTGGAGTTGTAAGCGGCTTGCTAGGGTTGCTGAGGATTGAACTCGCATCCTCTGGATGAGCAATACACTTTCTTAACCACAGAGCCATCTCTTCAGCCCCCGGAAGAGATGGCTTTTACCCCCAATCTGTATCCAGGATACAAGTTCAGAAAATTGTATATGGATTGAGAATATATGCCCACCACTGGCTGCTGTGCAGTCTGCTGTGTATTCAGTATGTGTTTCCATCACACTGTAGAGACAGAGCTGGAGTCCACTCAGATGCTGGGATGTTGGAGCCAGGAGGCAGAGCATCTCAAACTGGCAAATGCCCTCAACACTCAAACACCTGACTATGCACATGAGAACATAAGTGATTTGTTTATTCTTTACACTTGGGGTCTTTTCCAAAGATGTCTCATTCTAATGTTACATTCCCAGCTTCTTAAAACAACTTGATTTTTTTATAATTAATTAATTGTACTTGGGATTAGGCCAGGGCTTTGCATAATTGCAGACATTTTAGATGGGGGTACACAGTTTGTCGTGAGTCCACGTGGAAAGCTGTCATATGGTCACATCCAGCTAATCTCCCCTTGCACTGTCATCGCCCATTCCATGTGCTAGCCTGGCTGATCCTGATTTGTGGTTTCTGGGTTAGTGATGTTCAACCTGTAGACGCATGGAAAGGAGTGAGAACTACTGAAGCTGCCTCCTCTTGAGCTCCTCCACCTCCCAGGACCTGCAGTGATGTATGCTCTCCAGGTTCTGTGTCTTCCAGACAAAGCCTCTGAAAGTTTGCGTTCTGACCTCTTCTTTCCTTTTCTATTTTAGCGTGGTAGGGGTGGGGATCTGAGCTAGCATTCAGCATAGGCTGTCCTTAAACTCCTTAGGTAGCAGAGAATAACCTTGAACTCCTGATCCTCCTGCCTCTACCTCCCCAGTGCTAGATTGTAAATGTGCATCACGCACATGGGGACGCCCACCCCAAATACTCATGTGGGGGCCAGAAGAGGCCGTCAGGTGTCTGTCAACTCTGCCTGTTTCAGGTTTCACTAAATTTGAACTAGGTTTGCAACTGGCCAGCCCCAGAAATCCTCTTGTCTCTGCCCCCTACAGTGGTGGCATGACAGGCAGATGTACACGTCTGGCTTTTCACTTCCTCATGATCATGCAGTAAGCACTCTTACTTCTGAGCCATTTCCTTAGCCCCACATTCCAATGTTAAAGACTGCTGGATCCTGAAGATTCAGAGACCAGGCTTTGATACCCAGATGTTTAGGAAAGGAAGGTCACAGGTAGGAAGATCACCCTGTATAAAGATCATAGTGGAGAACGGCGGATTTAGCCTGCATCCCATACCCTTTTCTCATGTTGTACTGGGCCGAGGACAGAAGGGGGTAGCAGGGAAGGGAGGAAATGAAGGTTTGTTGTTTTTCCTGTGGCAACCACATAGAAAGTGGAACACAGGGACCCACCCGCAGCTCGCAGCAGGTGCAATGGTTCATGCTGCTGGATGATGTACCACGGTGTTCTGTGCCACTGGATGGTGCTCTGTGGTGCTCGGTGGTGCTCCATGATGCTCCTTAGTATTCTATGGTGCCCTGTGGTACCCTTTGTTTTCACCACATTTTATGCTTTTGGTACTTTCCCAGTGTGCTTTGCTGTTGTGATGAAAGAATGATATCCATAGTTTTAATGATATTTAAGATCGCATCCTGAGAAGCCACCCAGCAGACTGTGCTGTCCCAAGCCTGGGGATGTCTTCAGAAAGCCTGTGTGCCTATGCCTGCAGAGTCTGCAGTCACAATCTGTGCCTTTCACCAAAGCTCATCGGGTGCTAGCAGAACACTAAACAGGGCTTTCTAGAAGCTAGCATGCTCAGGAGCCCACATCTGCCCTTCTCCCCTTGCAGGCACATTTTCCATTTCTGTGAGCATACATGGAAAACAGATAAGATGGTCACAGCTTCACATGTCTTTTTTGAGTTAGGCAAGAGGGACTGTGGTTTGGTGAGAAGACTCATCTGAAGTTGCAGGCTCTTGTGGGGAGTGGAAGAACTGAGTGAGTGCCTTGCTTGACGTGAGAATGGCCATGCCAAGGACCCCAGTGCCTCAGATGCATTGGAATGGCAAAGCCTTCTCTGATTGGTGGTTTAAAAGAGAGTGGCTCCCAGAGGCTCATCATATACTTGGAGGCTTAGTAACCAGGGCGTGGAACTGTTGAAGATCAGAAGGAGTGCCAGAGTGCCTTGTTGGAGGAAATAAGTGACTGGAGGTGGACTTTGAGGTTTCAGAAGCCCATGCCAGGCCTCGTCTCTCTCTGCCTGCTGCCTGTGGATCAAGATACAACGCTCTCAGCTACTGCTCCAGTGCCGAGTCTATCTGCTTTCTGCCATGATGATCACGTATTAACCCTCTGAAACTGCAAGCAACCCCCCAACTAAATGCTTCCTTTTATAAGTTGCCTTAGTTGTGGTGTCACCACATAGCAGTTGAACAGTAACAAAGACTCGGGGAAATAGCAAAGCTTTCCCCTGGTTGCTGTGCAAATGTGTGCAGAAACTGTCCACAGTACCTTCTTCCTGGAAGCCTGAGACTGTGTCTCTACAGAGACATCCCTATTGAAATCAGTTAAGCCTCCCTCCTTATTCAGCTGTATATAATAACCCTATCTCCTTGTTCAATATACAGTAAACTCCCAATTATACGTGTAAAATGTGCTGGGCTTGTAGGCTACTGCCAAGTCTCCATCAGAGCACAAAGCCCTGGCAACGCTTTTTTCTGTCTTTGGTTTCTTCATGTCAACCATTGGGTGAGATCCTACAGCATGCAGGGTCTTGGAAGGACCTGTGGTTTCTGGATGTCCTCTGCCATAGGCCTTGGAACACAGCCTCAGCTGCATAGGTCTCAAGAAGGGAAGCAGTCACTGGGGCAGTGGCCTTATTTCTAAGATGGGGTTGAAGTGTTGCATGCTGCAAAGCTGAATTGGCGAGTGCATCGCACACTAAGGGGGGACACAGAAGAGGCAAAGGAGGAAGGGTGGTGGGTTTAGAGGGCTGTGATTGGGACTAAGACTCTACAGTGGCCCAGGAACTCTACTAACATACCTCCCTAACATACCTGCTTCCAGATCCCAGCCATCACTGCCGCTGTTCCTGGAGCCCCCTGGGAAGGCACAGGTTGTAGTCTCTCCTGCTCCAGTGCTGCTGTCAGAGTCCTTTCTGAAACCTGGATGTGGTCAGGTGATGGTTCTGACACTCAGCCTGTGTAGCCAATGCGTGCCCTACTCCTCCTCTTCCGTCCCAACTGCCCTCTGTGCCAGTTTCCAACCCCAATCCATTGAGACCTTGTCTCTCTGGACACACACAGGGGGGGGGGGGGGGGGGAGAGAGAGAGAGAGAGAGAGAGAGAGAGAGAGAGAGAGAGAGAGCGCATGTATGAGAGCGTTCCTAGTCATTACAACTGATTACAACTGGCTGGCTTATGTGGCTTCCCCTTTTTATCAGATAGTTCAGAGGTACACGTGGCTCTGGATTCAGGGCTGTGTAAGCGGTGCTTGTAATCCTGTCCACCTGGGAAGATGTCCCTTCTCCATGGCAAGCTTTCTCCAACAAGGAGATGTTGTGATAGAGTATTTTGAGAGACAGACGGTAGGAGGCTGGAGAGATGGCTCAGCGGTCAAGAGAGACAGAGGGAATCAGGTTCTCACGCAGGACTTTGAGCCCGAGTTCTTCCTTCTTAGGTGAGAGCTCATGTATTCCATGCTGGCCTCCATTACGCCACTGAAGATGATCATGTGCTTCTGGTCCTCTCCTGCTTCCGCATCTCAAGTGCTGGGATGGCAGACATAAACCACCAGTCCCAGCTTCCACACACAGCACTGAGAATCAAACCCAGGGCAAGCACTGAAGCAGCCAAACTGCATCCTTCACCTGATCCTTCCATCTCAAAACATACACGGCAGTGGCAAGAGCCCCTGCCTGCTGTGGTATGGGCACAACTAGGCCTCAGACTCTGAACCTCGGATAGGTGGAGGCACGAGTTGATTCCTCACCTCATGGAATTAAAGTGTAAGGGACCTAGGAGAGCAAAGATAAAAGAGTGTGCAGGTATGGAAGGGTCAGAGTTGGCAAAGGTCTTTGTAGCAGCTGGCTGAGCTCAGCTGAGTTACAGGCTGTACTGGAAGCTTCCTGGGATCGTGGGGTCTAACTGGTATTGAGATTACAAACACAGGCAACCTGTACCAGTGTGTGTGTGTGTGTGTATGTGTGTGTGTGTGTGAGAGAGAGAGAGAGAGAGGGGGGGAGTTATATACACATATATGAATCCTCTTGTGCACTCAGGAGACATTGACATTGTGCATCTAGCTCTGTCCCTGTCCTCATTCCTTTGAGGTAGTCTCTCACTGAGTCTAGAACTAGACTGGTGGACAACACCTCCCATCACACCCCACCCCCATCACTGGGGTTACACATGTGTCTAGCCATGCCCATTTTATGTGGGCTTTGAGGGTTTAAACCAATACTCACCTGCCTAGCCATCTTAAAGCCCTCACACTAATCCATTTTTGAGGCACACAACTTCAGTCCTGTGAGAAGAACCTGAGGCCTTGAGTGTCAGGGAGTCTGAGGAGTCTGTGTTGCCTGCGAGCAGGTATCCTGCACATGTGTAGCTCTGAGAAATTGTAAGACGATATGGCCAGAGAATAGTTTAGAGCCTGGGCTCTGTAGTTTGGTGTTAGAACACTCACTTCAATTATTAGTACTACAAAAGAAAAAAATAAAGTTTAAAAAGGCAATTGTGATCCATTTATTACGTGCTGTGGTAGATTTGTATTGCGGGCTTCCGATCCAGGCCTCTGTGCTAAGCAGTTATTCTGCTACTTAGCTGTGTTCCCAGCCCAGCTGTGGCAGGTGTTTGTCTGTTTGAAACCTTTCATCATTTTATATATGAATGTTTTGCCTGCATGTATATGTATGTATCTCATGTGTGCCTGGTCTCGGGAGAGAGCAGGAGACATTGGATCCCCTGGGACTGGAGTTATAGGCAGTTGTTAGCTGCCTGTGAATAAAGATGTAGAACTCTCCTTCTCCCGAACCAGGTCTGCCTGGATGCTGCCATGCTCCCATACAAGATGATAATGGACTAAACCTCTGACTGTAAGCCAGCCCCAATGAATGTTTTCCTTTATAAGAGTTGCCATGGTCATGATGTCTCTGGCCCCTGGAAGGTCCTCTGGAAGAGCAGTCAGTGCTCTTAACTTCTGAGCCATGTCTCTAGCCCCTGTGGTACGTTTTTACTCACAGGGAGCACTCTCTGCAGTTAGTGAACTGGGGGTGGGGGTGGGGGCTGAACACATTATATACAGTTGACCTTTACATTAGCAAGGAATAGAGTCTGTGACCCACAAATAACAAACTCTGGATGCCTAAGTCCCTTATAGAATTTGATGTAGGCATGTGGCCTAAACTCATCAACTATAGTATATAACATGTCTCTTAAGTTAAATACCTAACATAATGTGTATGTTATGAAAATAGTGTTTTGAGGACTAATGTTGTCTTAGGGTTTCCATTGCTGTGAAGAAACACAACTCTTCACAAGTGTGAAGTGGCCAAGGCAACTCTTATAAATAAAAACTCTTATTATCATGGTATGAAGGATGGCAGCATGCAGGCAGACATGGTACTGGAGAAGGAGCTGAGAACTCTACATCTTGATCCGAAGGCAACAGGAGGAGGCTGTGTGCTAAATTGGATGTATCTTGAGCATACCAGACCCCAAAGCCCACCAACAAGTGCTTTGGAGGACACACTTCCTCCAACAAGGCCACACCTCTTAATAAGTGCCACTCTCTATGGGCCAGGCATTCAAACACAAGAGTCTGTGGGAACCATAACTTTTCAAACCACCACAGATGTCAAAAGAAGTCCATATGTGTTCAGCACAGATGCAATTCAGTTGCTTTGGTCTTGGCTAGTTGAATCTGGGATATGGATACAGTAAGTATGGAGGGCAGAGCAATCAGTCTTCAGAGACAACCTTGTAAGGCAAGCATCATGGAGTTTTATTTTAGAAGATGAGGCTCAGAAAGATTGTGTTGTGTCTCCTTCACCCATACTGAGGATGATGATGGGGTAGAGCATTCTGTACTCCCCCTGGTGTTCTCTGAGCCCAAGCATGTTCTCGTCCTCACACTCAGGCAATTTTGATAGGATGCTCAGGCAAGCCAGCCAATAGGCACAGACCTAAAACAGTCCTTGCCACTTCTTAAAAAAAGAGACCCTTAGGCAAGGGGGCCCAGAAAGTGGTCATTTTGTAATCTGAAGCTGAGAATATCTATCACCAAGAGCCATTCTCCTGCCTTAGCAGTTAGCCCAATACCCCAGCTTCTTTCCAGACTGACCCAGAATGTGTAGCTAATATGAAGTGACAGATCCTGAAGCATATCTTTCATCTTCCCCAGGTTACCCCTCTACCTGGTGTCACTTGTCATCAGCCTTGTTTTCCTGTTGGTGAATCTGACCTGCGCTGTGTTGGTGAAGACTGGAGACTGGGACAGGAAGGTTATCGTCTCTGTGAGAGTGGCCATCAATGACACACTCTTTGTGCTGTGTGCCATCTCTCTCTCCATCTGCCTCTACAAAATCTCCAAGATGTCCCTGGCCAACATCTACTTGGAGTCAAAGGTAAAGGTGGGAATGTGATCAAGGTTGCTTATTCTGAAAATGGCTTCCTGGCTCGTACATAAAACACAACAGATCTTGCTCGCTCTGGTTCACAGAACTTTGTGAATTTTGTGTTTCCAGGTGGTTTAGCATAGTATACGGTGTGTAGAGTCTCTGGGAAAACTCAGTCTGGTTTAGAATTACAACTGTTTCACTGTTAACTTATTTTTATGGTGTTGGATATCAAACCCAGGGCCTGTGTGAGTTAGGCAAGCATCCACTACAGAGTTGCAGCCCCATGGATTTTAAAAATGATTTGGAGACAAGGTCTTAGTAAGTTGCCTGGTCTGGCTTTGAACTCACTGTTACCTAGGCTGGACTTGCAATCCTCCCGCTTTAGCTACCACTGCTATAGCTGGGATTATGGACTTAACACCTGCAGGTGTGACTTGAGCATTTTTAGTGCATGCGCTAATGTCAGTCTCCCATTTCAATGGGGTAGGTAGTATTAAATCCCCATTTAATAGACAAAGAAATCAAGGCTCAGAGAGAGGTCAAGAAGCTTGTCCCAGGTCAGTGCTCATAAATACAAAGCTGAAGTGAATGTGGGCTGTCAAGAGCCAGGGTTCAACACTAATAACAACTAACATTTGTTGTACCTCCGATGACTCAGATTCAGGCTGTGCCCTCACCACCCTGGCTGTGGGAATGTTCCTGGCCGGCACTTGCTGCAAGATGGGGTCAGACTTAAACAAGGAGGCAGCTCTTGCCTCTTCACCACCACTGTGTCTCACAGCCTGACCTCCATGCTTTCTTATCCCCAGGAAGAGACGGGCAAATATACAGATACCCTGTGGTACCAAAATGCTTCAGCCAGGTCTCCTTTTCTGACAGGTTCCCAACCTAAGCCCTGGAAAGTGTAGGTGGGTAAGCAGAGAACAGTGTTGGGCCCTGGATAGCCGGGAGACTGACCCCCACCTCCATCCTTACCCTCATCATTTGCCTTGCCCGGCCCTGCCAGTTGTGAAGACATTAAGTGATTTTTTCCAGTGTCCATGCTTCTGAAGACAGAGCCTGTGTGGCCTGTGACAGATCTGCTGTCGCTCTCCTCTGGAACTCTTCTGGCCTTAGTGTGCCTTAGGCCTGAGAATTACAGGGCAGCTGGGCTCCCGTCAAGTTGTGTCTTTAAAAGTGATCAGTAGATGAAAATTTCTGCCTCCAGCCCTCACAGGACACCCTGTGATTCAGCTGGACTCATGAAAATCCTACACATTAGCTGGGCCAGTTTTCATTTGCAAATCTGGATGAATTTTACTGTTAATCTTTGCCATAAAATCTGTTACCTTGTCTCTTATACACGAGTTGTGCAAAAATTTTGAAAAAAAAAAAACCACTGCAGTTTTTTTTAAAAGGAAGGATTACGTTGTAGATGGTCAGGTGTACTGAGTTGACCCATGACAAAATAAATGCTTTGATTTAGTTAATGACTCCTCAATACATGATCCAAGTCAACTCTGCCTTTCTTTGCTCCTGTTAACTAGATGGGGGTCCTTTAACTGACTGCAGGAACCGACAAACTTTATAAAGAGGGATTAAGTCACAGATACTCAAGTGACCCCATCCCAGGGGCCAAGCAGGACTTCTGTGCTCTCAGTCTAAAAGGTTCTTCTACACCTTGAATAAGGCTATATACCTCCTGACTGGGGCTGGCCTGGTATGCTCATCAGCCAGGACCTTGTTACTGAGCAGTGGGGTTTAAGAGATCTGATCAGCGTTTTGATATTATGGTTCTTAAAGATTGTTGTGGACTGGAGTGATACCTCAGTCAATAAAGTGCAGCCATAAGAACCTGGGTCCGATTCCCCCAGAAACTGTATTATGTATATTAACAGCTGAGTGCAACAGTATGTGCTCAGCAGGAGACAGGATCAGCAGGCTCCAGATACAGAGAGACAGACAGACACACACAGAGGGAGGGAGGCGGCTAGTGTGCCTGCAGAAGGTACGCCAGCAATGGTCCATTCCTGTTGGCTTTGTCTTCCAGGGCTCATCGGTGTGTCAGGTAACTGCCATTGGTGTCACCGTCATCTTGCTCTACACCTCTCGGGCCTGCTACAACCTGTTCATCCTGACATTTTCTCAGATCAAGAACGTCCATTCTTTTGATTATGACTGGTACAATGTATCAGACCAGGTCAGTGGGATACGACAAGATACTGCACAGGGACCAGATCAGAGGGGTGTAGTAAGTTGCTATGACACTGGGGACCAGGTCAGTGGGGACCAGATATGTGGGAGCTGGGCAAGGTGCTGTCTGCACGGGGACCAGATCAGCGGAATATGGTAAGATGCTGCCTCAGCAGGGACCAGGTTAGTAGGATGCAGTGAGTGCTTGCTGAAAGGCCAAACTCCCTGTTTCTGCTGTTGTGCAGTGCTAGGTGTACAAAAGTCAACAGGTATCTTTCTTGCCCTGAGGGAGTTGATTGCCCAGTGAGGTGTAGACACAGATTACCCAGTGTGGTGGGAAATGAACTCCTCGAATAGGTCTCTATTGGATTGTTTTGCAAACACTTAGTGCCATCTGGAAAAAAACAAATGCCCAAATGTGTGTGAGTCTAGCTATAAAATCCCACCAGTAGTCATAATGGGAGCTGATTTGTTAAGACAGTGAGATTTAAAAAAAAAAAAAATGACCACAATGAGCTAAATCCCAAATGGCTGCAAGCACATTATCCCTGGAAAAGACGAAACTATGACTGTAACCTAGCAACACTGGCAAAGCCTGTCCACAGGTACAGCCGGGAGAAAGCAAGCTGGGCAAGGACGTTAAGGAGGTACATGTGCTGTGTGAGGAAAAGCAGACATGGGATTTCTAGACCTTAAGCAGTAGCTGGTTCTAGAGCTGTTCTTCATGCACTAGGGTTTTCAAGAGCAGGCAGCAGCACTGGTATGTACGAGTTCAAACCATCATTGCCACCCACTTGACCTTTTCATCTTTCCAAACTGAAGTTCCATCAAGCAGCAGATTGGCTTTTAACAAATTACTTCCAATTTTCTTTCATTGGCTTTTAACAAATTACTTCCAATTTTCTTTCAATCAAGAGCTTAAGGCCGGGCGGTGGTGGCACACACCTTTAATTCCAGCACTTGGGAGGCAGAGGCAGGCGGATTTCTGAGTTCCAGGTCAGCCTGGTCTACAGAGTGAGTTCCAGGACAGCCAGGGCTACACAGAGAAACCCTGTCTTGAAAAACAAAAAAACAAAAACAACAACAACAAAAGAGCTTAAAAGCTCTATGCTTGGGGTGGGATGTTTTTGAGACGCTCATTTTTAGTGACTTCAAGTACCTGTGCCTTGTTGGTGGAAGGGAGACCACACAGGGCTGAGCTGTGGTGATCTAGGAGACATGAGTATCATCACTCTGGGGATGAACATTTGGTCTGTGCTTTCAGCACGATGTGTTTGAAAAGGCTTGAGGACCAGGCTGTGGCTCAGTGTTCTCTTCCTGGTAATGGGCCGAGAAGCTGCCACAACTGGTTCCCCTTTAGCCTGGGACCTCCCCCCAGGAAGCCTCCATAGCCATCCCCTTGGGCTCTGCCCTGCTCAGAGGACTTTTCCTGGACAAGCTGCCTGTGGCCAGCTCTCATGGGTGGAGAACAGAGTGTGGCTAATGTCAGGATGACTCTGGACAGACGAGCTCCTTTGCTTTAGGAGTCAGGGCTGGGAGGTGGGCTCTGGATTCATTCCTGAACCTCAAAAGTAAATGAATCATCCTAAATGGTTTCTACAGTCCTCCAAGGCCACCCATCATTGCGACCAAGTTTCAAAGTGCAAGCCTTAGGGGGAACATTTCACTGATTCTAGGACTGCTTTCTGCTCTCTGTCCTCCCACACAGGAGGTCTCACGAGCTCGTTTTTTCTTACTCTGGAACAGGCAGATCTGAAGAGCCAGCTGGGCGATGCCGGCTACATTGTGTTTGGCGTGGTGCTCTTCGTGTGGGAGCTCCTACCCACCACTCTGGTGGTTTATTTCTTCCGAGTCAGAAGTCCCACGAAGGATCTTGTAAGTACCCCCTTGGCCGTTTGCTGGTGTCCCTGATCCTCCCGAGTCTGGCGAGTGGGATGTGCAGCCTCCTCTCCTCGTCCTTTTCAGTGAAGCGTCTTGCATTTTGTGGGGTAGGTCATCCAGGACTCTTTCGAGGACAGTCTTCTTTTCCCTTCATTCTCTCAAAGAAAATGTGTTTGGGGGATTTAGCTTTATTTTACAAAAGAAAGTTAAGTACATCTCATGGCCTGGGGACAGTAGTCACTGTCCTCCAAACACATTTCTGCTCTTGCAGCAGAAAAGGGGGGGCTGGAGAGATGACAGAAGAGTGCTGGCCTAACACGTATGAAGCCCTGGGTTTGATCCTTAGTTACTCATCAAACCAGGCATGTAATCCTAGCACGGGGGAGAGAGAAGCAAGTGGATCAGAGGTTCAGTCTCCCTTGGCTACATAATGAGTTCAAGGCCAGCCTGAGCTACATGATACCTTGTCTGAAAGTACCAGTAAAAAGAGGAAAATAGACTCACTTTATCCCCAGAGTAGTGCAGTGGCATCATGGTGACCATGCTAAAGCCACCCACTCCTGTTTGGCCACATCTTCTGCTTAACCAACACTACAGAAGAGAAAACCAAGTCAAGTTCAGAATTTCCTCGAAGCCTTGCTGCACCACACAGACAAGGCTACAGCTTTGCCTTCCTGAAGTGTATACACTCAGGAGAGTGAGGAGTGGAGTTCTGGCCAGTTTGAGCAGTGAGGAAGGTACAGAAGGATGCCCATAGACATGGTACAGCCCTGGTCCATACCCAGATAACAACAGCTTGCTGCTCTTTTCCCACTCATCGCTGGGCGGTCACTGCTGAGCCAGGCACAGGAAACAGAGCAGAGTGAGATGGAGAGGAAGCCTGGCCCGGCTATGGCTATATATGTCTTCCCTGCCGGGATGGACTCCAACAATGTATGCTTGCATTTTTGAGAATTCAGTTTGGGACAAAAAGTATGAAAAGACTGAGGGAGGATCCTGTAGTAAGAAACTCCCCTGAGAGCGAGCCTGTGTCATTATACAGCTGTCTTCATCTGCTTTAGTCTGGGGGACTTCTTGAGACAATCTCACTGTAGGGTACGGTTGACCTTGAGCTAAAACCTCTTGCCTTGGCTTCCCAGGTGCTGGGTTTATATGAGTGAATGACCATGCCTGGCTATTTGGACATATCAGTGAGGATTAAGACAGTATATTTACCACTGGAAGGACGAGCTATGAATTTATTAGCATTATTAACTATGTATTCAATGGATTTCACTGAGGAGTTTTTACAGGCATATATTTTAGTTTATCTGCTCTTTCCTACTGATCTAGTCACTCCTTCCTATTTTCAGGTCCTTTTTAAAAAAACTACAGATCCTCAAGAAGAGAGTAGTTCTTCCCTTCCTCATGGTGCATTTTGGGGACTGTAGCTCAATTGGTAGAGAGTAGGACTGAGCATACAGGAAAACTTAGATTCGATCCCCAGTGCTTGAGAGGTAGAGGGAGGGAAATAAAATTTCCCTGTCATCTTTGGCTTGAGACTAGCCTTGGATGCATGAGACCCTGTTCCCATCCCCCCACTCCCACAAGAACATGCATAGGCACACTAAGCACTCCAGCTTGTGATAGCACTCCTTCCTCGTGCTAGCAGGCAGTTGTCTGCATGGATGCTAACATGATAACGTCTTCTTCTAGACCAATCCTGGGATGGTCCCCAGCCATGGATTCAGTCCCAGATCTTACTTCTTTGACAACCCCCGAAGATATGACAGTGATGATGATCTTGCCTGGAACATTGCCCCTCAGGGACTGCAGGGAAGGTAAGACCCAGCTCCTGATGGAGAGTGCTGCGCCACTGGAACAGATGGAAGTGGAAGACTACTACTGCTCAGAGCTGTTCTGCAGGGTTAGGTTCACCATGGGAAGTAGCCAGGTGTAAAAGATACTTTTTTTCTGGGGGGGTATTTTTTGAGACAGGGTTTCTCTGTGTAGCCGGGTCTGTCCTGGAACTCACTCTGTAGACCAGGCTGGCCTCAGAAATCCGCCTGCCTCTGCCTCCCAGGTGCTTTTAAGTAAAAGATCTTTAAAAGATCCTCTCCCCCCAGCATTTTTCCTACTCAGTATTCCACGGAATGCTTAATAGCTGTGATGGTTTTAAAAGAAATCAACCTTTACTTATAGGACCTCTCCGAGCCTACCCAGAGCGAGCCAGAGCATTTGCTGCTCCAGTCACTCGGTGGAACGTGATCTGGGACATCCAGGCAGACATCTTGGATCCTCTTCTAAAGCCAGAGAATATATGAACAATTATCACTAGAGTGAATATAATTATAAGAACCAAAATTTGAAATTTGTCATTCTTAACCAGTTATTTACTAAGCTATTCGAAAGTGTCATTCATTGTTTGCTACAGTCCTGTGAGGTCAGTATAATTGAGTTCTCATGGTTCAAGATCTGTGGGAGTCCCTTTGCTGGGTAAGCACCCTGGCTGGCCCTGGGGCATACTTCAATGCCATCACACATGGGAATTGCCTCCTTTCTTCAAAATTCACTTGCAGACTGGGCTCTGGCCTTTTTGGGGTGGGCACTTACATATGGTAGCATTCACAATGGTGTGTGTATGCTCAAGACAGTGAAGAAGCTGTGCCTGCTGCCGTCAGCTAGATCCAAGTCTGAATAGCAGCTAGGAAAAGGAGGACGGGAAGCACCTGCCTCCGGGGCCAGGTGCAGTCCTTGTGACCGTAGGTCCCTCCTCTCTTTGTGCACCTGAATCTACCCAGGGCTCAGAAAATTGTGCTTCCTTTTTGCTCTGTGTAGCAGTGAAAGTCCTTGGAAATGGGGGAAGTGCTCTAAAAGGACCTTGGTTTGGGATACAGAACTGAGACAAACACATTGCTGTCTTAGTGAGGAGGGAGGAGAGACCCCTGATCAGATAAACAAGACAAGGTAGCAATTAGGGGAAAGCACAGAACCACAGATGTCAAGTACAGACTCTGGAAGCAAGCTAACACACAAAGATTTCTCAGGGTCAAGAGCTATCATCCACCAGTTTGAGCTACACCTCTTCCTAAAACTTTTATCTAGTTGCCCCATGCTTTCCCCCTGTATCCCCGATGCACCATCCCTAACCATTACTTGCCAGAAGTTCCTGAGAGGACAGTACTCACCCTGTATAGAGAGCAATAAAAGACCCTTTTCTATGATAAAGGAAAATAAAAACAGTGTTTTGAGTTCTAATGATATCTTAGATATTGCTCTTGAAGACTTTTATAGGTGTTCACTCGACCCCGATAACAGCCCAACAAGAAAACCACTAATGCCTTTCCTGTTCCGTAGACAAGGAACTTGAGATGTAGACGTTATCTATCCAAAACACATGATAATCCCACCTTACAGTTCAGACACAATTTTTTGCTAAACCTATGTTCTCCACAGTGGCTAGTTTTAGGTTCTGTAGTTCCAAACATCTAAGCTCTGCGGGGTTCAGTAGACTTGAATTCAGGCTGCCAGCACTGAATTTGGTAGAAAACGGGCAAGATACCAGCCGGAAAACCTCAGGTCTATTGCTAAGGTCCACATGCTGCATGTATGCAATACGCTGTGTCAAGCCACTGAACTGGTTTTGTTTGTTTGTTTAAAGTTTTGCTCCAGACTACTATGATTGGGGACAACAAAATAACAGCTTCCTGGCACAAGCAGGAACTTTGCAGCAAGACTCCATTTTGGATCCAGACAAAGCAAGCCAAGGGTAGCACCCGCTGACACAGTCCTATGGAAGAGTCCTCTATTGAAAGCCTTCAGCCATACAGACTGGATGACAGCTGAGTTTTTAAGGCAGTTTTCCTTATGAAACAGAACTTTATTTTTTGCTATAGCTTTCTCATGGCTCCATAGGGCTAAAGCAATAATTTAGAGCAATAAACCCTTTAGTACTAGCAGAGAGCCTGGCTATTTCAGTGGGTATAATTTAAACTTTTCAAAGAGATTCTGTACTTTTATAAAGATGTATTTTATATAACTTAAATACTAATTCTAAAGTATATGAGGTTTTTCCTTGATTGTTAATTGCCATGTATGTTGTAGTTTGCACAGACTTTCATGCATAATTCACTTTAAACTGTACAGAATATATGGTCTAATAGTTTAAAAAGCTTTTGGAAAAGTTTCCACAAATCTTACCTCTGAAAGTCACTCTTGTGGTGGGCTCCTTTAACTGCCACTCCAGTGTTCAAAGTTAAGAGGAAGCAGAGTACCACCATCTGTACGTAACGGGCTCAGCAGTTGTAGTTTCTCTTAAATTTTGTCCTAAGTCTGGTGCTTCTTCATCTGGAAGCACTACTACAAGCACTCCAGTAACAAGCAGACACTGTCAAGATGTAGTCACCGACACTATTAAACCTCTTCTGCTGTGTGTGTAGCCATTTTGTAGAGTTTTCTTCAGCCCGGTGTAACTGAATACTCACTACCTCAGTAGGACGGAAGGACTGCGCCTTCCCAGACAGCCAGTGCTCACTATAGTCAATGACAAGCTAAGAGGTCCTCCAGAGTATTAACAATAAATATTTCTGACCTTCAAGCTCTAAAGGACTGTGGACTCCTGACAGCTTTTCTGTAAAACATGCCTGTAATTTGTATGAGACTGACATGGTGCTCACTGCCTGTTATTTTTAAGTAGTATTCTGTTTGTTGAAAGCTATGTATATGAAAAGGTGGGCTCTGCCTATGTGGTAGCAGCATCCCTGTCTCAGCCAGAGAGTGCTCCAGACAATGGTCCCCATGTGCCATCTCTGGGCTGCCCTGGGAAAACTCCAACCAATGAACCAATGTGGTCCTCCTGGAGGCTGGATGCTCTGGCTTCTCACAAAATGCAGCATCTGGTCCTAGAGGTCACAGAGCCACAGACAGTCTCACTTCCTACTTTTAACTTAACAGGGTCAAGCCCACTTTCTCCTATTTTGTTATACTTGAAATTGGGAGCCCAAGTTTCAAATGGGTTGTGATTGGGTTTTCATGGTATAGAGCATAAAGTTGAAGGCCTTGCATAGCCCCGGACGACGTCTTTGCCTTTGAGTATGAGTAAACATCTGGGTCGCAAGCCATTTAAAATTGTTCTTTGCCAGGGTGAATTCTGGCAAAGCCTACACAAATTGCCTAAATCAGTAGTTTACAATAGCAGTGTATAAAAGTGTATCTGTCACTATACCTGCAATAATTTGGCTGTTGTAACCAGTGCCCACAGCTCCTGTGTCCTTGTCTCCAGCAGGTCTGTACCTGTCAGCAGCCAAGGGCAAGGCTTTCTGGAAAGCGCGGCATCATTAAGATTGTTCTGTATGCACTCATTTTGTAGCACGTGCACACTTTACAGTCGGTTAATGCTGGGTGTCTGTTTTCTTACAGTAAGAAGCTATAATCCACTTTTACAATAAAGTTGTCAGCATTCATGTCAGCAATAAAAAGACTACAGCTCTTAAATGTTGTCACCACATGCTGGAGTATAAATGCAGTGGCTGTGGATCACATGTACGGAAGGAGGTCTGAGTTGGCTTTGAGCCTTCTCCCCTACTTCCTCTGCTAACAAAACTGTTCCTAATGTGTTACACATAGGAAAAGAAAAGTTCATGTTCACAGCATCATGAAATTAAAAACCTGGTAATAGTAAAGCACCCGGAGCCAAGTATGGTAACAATCCCAGCACTAGGTCAAGTCTGAGGTTACCTGGGCTGTAGCAATACTCTGAGATAAATAAGTTCACTGAAAATGTAAATATGGTACCAGCAGTGAGGTCTGCTATAACTCGGGCAAGACACACCTTTTTAGCTGCTGAGTCATTTGCCTGAGCAGTTAAGAATTCTGGCCAAGCTGTGTTCATATCCACCATTGATTGACACATATTCCTTAGATAATTCATGTCTGGAGTGTTATAAGTAGAGTTGTGAACTAGAGGTTATTACAGCATATGTCTGAGTCACAGTTAGTTGGGTTTTTTTTTTGTTTGTTTGGTTTTTAGGGGGTTTTGGTGGCTATAGTAAGGATTATTGGATGGATGCCAGACATGGCCATACATGGCAAGTGCTCTACCACTAAGCTGTATCCCTCAGCTCTTGCCCACTTTGTCTTGACTGTGTCAGACACACTCATAACAGCTCCTCTGGTCCTGTGTTTATCTGGATAGATTGGGTAAACTCTAGTGCCTCCCAAATTCCTCCTTCACTAGAACTCAATTGGTTTTTTTAGACAATATTGTGGAACCAACACTAGACCCCTATGAAGAGCAAAGGAAGTATTAGTCACTGGGCACTTCAGAAGCAATGTGAGACTCTCATTTGGAGCAATATATTGTCTGTTAGAATATTATGCATGCATGTGCATGGGTACCTACCTTCACAGTGGAGATCAAGTCCAGGCCTGCTAAGCAAGTATTTTGCCACTGAGCTACATGCAACCTAGCCTTTGCTGTTTGTTCTACTACAAGGTTACAAATTATCAAAATCTACAAGGTACTGTAGAAAAAAAACCCTCTTTCACTTTTATCAGGCAGCAATCTAAACAACAGACCGGTGCAGAAACACACCAGTGTGCAGTTCTACTTTATCCAGTATGCATGAGCTATTCACAACCTCTGATGGATCCTGATGGCAAAGCTATTAGAAAAAGGAACAGGCTCAAATCAGTTTCTCATCAAAAACTAAACAAAAAGGACAATTAAAGTGAGAAAACTTTTTAAATGGGACTGTGCAGACAGTAGAATTTAGTCTACTGGGTGTCTCTGTTAGACTGGGCAGTTGTCGTGAGTTTGGATCTGAGACCATACACTAAGAGAATTACACATAAATTTCCTTTCAGCTCCTGGCAGGGACACATGAAAAACCCTCTCCCAATAGAACAAAATACCTAATGCCTGCCTTGGCCATTCCTATTCCCCAAACTATTGCACTCCTTATGCCTTTGCCTCATCCTTGCCCCAGGTAGGTACTGTGTTCAATATGGACTCACTGAATCCAAATGCCTAAAGGAATTCCACACCTACCTAATAATGTGTTGGTGTCACATTAAGGAAAGAAAGTGTTTCCCCTTGGCGTTCTTTAACCAAGAGTGAGCTCATATCTGATTTTCTATTTCCTGTTCCCTGTGTCTTCTGTCTTCATTCTCTGTGTCTGTTACATGGATCTGAATCTGTGCCTGCCTGAAGGCTGTCTTGTAAATCTATCCCTGTGTGTTCCTCTGTCACAAAGGGCTTTGTTCTTTATTGAGCAGCTCAGAAAGCATAACGTGGAGAAGGAATGAGAGAGAACAGAAATCCTTAACAGGGTCTTACAAGGGATTATTAAATCACAGAGTCCAATTAACCCCAACTGACCCAGATAACAGTATTTCAAACACTAATGTTTATCAAGCAATATTTAAATGTTGTGTTCAACATTCATGGTGGATATTCACTTTATAAGATTGCTTTCAACTTCTGTTTTCAGCAAATGATACCCATTCATTACTGTTGGTTAGAGACATGGAAGAGTACATGACTTAAGATTATAGCTAGGCACAGGGAAATCCAAGGGTAAGTAAAGTGACTGTTAACATTGTTTTCTTAAGATGCTACCTACTGTGTGCTCAGCTTTTAAGTCATAAGTGATCTCAGGATATATTGACCCTGGCTGTAAGGTCCATCAAAAGTTCTAATCCAGTCTCTTGGAATGAAAGATTTTTTTTTAAAAAATACTGCATCATCACAAGAGATGACCGAGGACTAATTTTAAATATTATTTAATTAAAACAAGGTCTACTGGTACATATAGGAAAATGGACTGATCAAATGGAAACAGAACCTAGATAAAGAGCTAAGTCCATAAAGGTGTCAGAGGTCCTGTCCTGTCTACATGATTCCTTAAACTAGTCATGGAAAAGATGACTAGTGTTTCAGGACCAAACAGGTTACCACCTATGTAAAATTAGGTTGGTTTCTTAACTTGTATTTTGTACTAGGATCCAAAGGATCAGAATTTAGAAATGAAAAAGCAAAGCTATCAATTCTTTAGAAAAAAAATGCCAGTAGATTCCTGTCTTGGTCTGAAGTGAAGAAGACAGTCTGAATTGATACAGAAACTACCAAAGAACTGGTATAGGAAATCAGACCATACAACAGCATGATAAAACCATTAGAACAAAGCCAAGCAACAAGCTGGAAGAATATGCAGCTCATCATACTTGAAGAAGTAATACCTCTAACAGGTGATGTGCACAAAGAACACTAAGCAAATTGAGAGTTAGTTGTTAATTTTATACATTTAGGTTTTAAAATGAACACTTCAAATTTACATTCTATCAGCATGTCCACATCTCTGGTGGAGAGGCTGTGGGTGAGCAAGCACAGGCATATATGAACTGAGAGCTAGTCCCTGTGGAGGGCAGAGTCCAAGTCAGTACCTGTCAAACCTACAAGTGTGTGTGGCCTTCCACCTTTGAGTACTTAGAAATGTACATATACAAATGTGACATGATATGTGGACAAGGTCTAGAAACAACTCAAATGCTCAAGAATGCTACCACTCAACTAAATACTGGCATAGTCAGTAGCAACCAGTAAAGGGGAAAAGCTATCTGGTGCTACATGGCCACTGAAATAATTAGGTGATGAAAAGCAGACGGTGTGTATTAATATTACTCCAAGTAAAAGAAGAGTGAACAGAGAAAGAAGACTTTATATTTACATATGTTGGTGTATTTTTTTTAAAAGTGGAATATGGATGGAAATACAAAAGGCCAGGGACAAAGGGCATGTGTGTGCACTATGGGAAGCTGGGAAGACATTGTATTTTTAGTGTGTATTGTGTTTTTCAATCATGTGAATGTACCACCTATTTGGACAGTTAAATAAAACAAGCATTTTTTTAAGCCTATGATTCAATACAAATCATAGAATACTGTTCTTACATTTTGGTTGGATGGTAATAGGCCATTGCAGAAATGACACAAATGGCCCACATTATCAGTGTAGGCCCTGGTGGTACGCTCAGGTTCTACACCTTGAGTTTACAACAGAATACAAGGCTCTGGTTGAGTCTCAGACCTCATCTGTTTGCATGCTTTAGGAAACACCTGTACTTATCACCTAGTGTGCTGTTGCATGCAGGGTCCTCAGCACATGTGCCAATGACTGCCATTATGACTGCAAGAAGAGGCCCCCTCAGACTATGCAGAAGTCTATTTTCTCCCTGATCCATAGGTTATAATCACAGTCTCATAAGAAGCACTTGATATGGAGGAGGGGGGAAAAACCCAAAGAAACAAAAGATTGCAGAAACATGTATTTTAATTCATGGTTTAGATTCTGGTGGTTACAACAGCAAATTATTTGGAATTCTGCTCAGAAAACTCAAAGCTGCACGTGTAGATGTTATTTCAAATAAAGGACATGTGGATTTATGTACTTGGTCTGTACCAAGGAATTCCCATGACAGCGTGTACCTGGTCTGAGCCTTTTTGGTGACTAGCTATGGCTTCTGCAGGAACTTCGGTCTGCAAACTGCTGAGAAGCCTACTGTGGACTGTTTTCAGGTGTCCAGCTGAAGGCAATGCTGAGGAAGACCAGCACGGTTGTCCTTCCTTATACACTGTGGCACCTAGGCAGGGTCGAGAAACACGGCACGGCATTTGACTTGTCAAGTTTCAAAACTGATTATCTTGTTTGGCTGATCCTCCACATAATCTTAAAACGAGAGGAGTACTGAACATTGACCATTTTAGTAAAGTCTGTCTAACATGGATGCTACTAAAGGAAAATACAGGCTACCAATGAAAACACTTCCCCTTCACATTGATTATGGCACCAGGTATAATCATTTCAGTCAGTCTTGCTGTCAATGCTAGATTTTTACAGTAGGTGATGAGACAGACAGACAGCAATCTCACAAGGTTAGCAGTGCTTGAATTCCCCCCAGCACAGGTGACAGAACTGGCAGAGTCACCAAACAGTCCTACAATCTCCACAGTCCTCAGATGTCATGGCAATGTCGGCTATGCACACATCAACACACCACCATAACATATATAAAAGTTAACCCAACAAATACCAAGTTCAGAATACTTCCCTTACTGAAGAAATTCATTACAACCTTGAGGACATTCTAACAACCATTTCTTTCAACTTCCTAGAACACACACTATTCTACTTTGTGTCCTATGCTTGGAACAAATCACAGTTAAGAAAAACTCAGCAAGTGGAAATGAAGACAATTTTCCCCCTTAAGCAAATAGTTTAAACAATAGCATCTAACTGCAGTGGTAATAAGTGACATTTCCAAACAACCTCTGCATTTAAAATAAAAATAGACAAAGTGCAAAATTTCCACATTTCTTTACATTCTAAATGGGCACTACAGAGCCCACTGATGTACTCAGCGAGGTCACTGGCATTCACTTTGTGGGCGTTTTCTCTTATAGTGGCCCGTTCCCATCACATGGTAACACTTGCAACTCTTTAAAAAATAAAAAGCAAAGAAAAAGGAAAACTTCAAGCCAGCTTAAAAAAGTAATCAACCTACAAAATTTATCACCATCAACAAAACATTAAGTTTATAAAGATTAGAAATAACTATAAAGGCCTCAGTCCCCCGTCACACCTCTGTAACGGAAGACTAGGCATGAGAGAGAGGAATGAGCCAACCAAATAACCTGGCCTACACCACGAAGTCACAAGGAACGTAGTTCAGACTTTGGCAGATAAGACGTGGATTTAAGAGCACTTACTGTTTACTTCAGAGAGACAGAATCTAAGAAGCGAGGCTTTGGACTCGCATTACTTTCACACAGATAAAACCTTTCAAGTAATCCCATTACACACTGCCACTTTTAAAAGAACCAAGATTTAAAACATTTAAAGACTTTAAATCCCAGGTTTAGGAAACGACAGTCTAGGGCCTTCAAGTTCTCCACTGTCGTGAGTCACCGAGGATGGCTGCTGATCTGGGATGAACTCAAGATGGAGGAACAGGGAGGAAGTGATGACACTCATGCTGAAGCATCTCACCAGTCACACAAAAGAGGTAGAGGATTGCATAGATTGTGTTCAAAATCAAACATTTAAAATGCTTACTTTAAGACAGCAAAATTTGTGTGTAATCCAATTAGCATTATAAACCCATAGGATCCCATTCAAATTTTGTGAAGAAAGAAAATCCATTAAATAAATAGGGCTTTTCATAAAATAACTGAAAATGTCTAAAATTAAAAGAGGAACAAAGAGAAAAGTCAAAAGGGGAGCTGTAGGCTTTAGGCAAAGGACATTCCACTCTTGAGCCAGCCTGGGGTACACAGGCCAAGTAAGCATGTGAGAGCACTTACCAAGGCAGGGCCCTTTAGGCCAAAACCACAGCAGCAACAGCAACTAAACATCTTAACAGGGTTGAAGTCCTGGGAAGTCATCCAGAACCTCTCACTAGTCACTGAAAGGCCTATTCATTATAGTGACAGCCCTGTATTACAGAGGATGACACACAGTGTTAGGCAAGTCTAAAACACTAACTACACCAATTTATAGATTTTCTCACTGGGACCAGCTCTAGGCAGCACTGGTTCCCTGGTTCTTTTTCTACAACAGATTGAACAGTCTTCTCAGGATAGACACAGTCATTTAAAGTTTGACAACTAGGAACACAAGGTAATACAATGCAAACAAGATGTGAAACAAACATGGCATTAGTATAACTTACAATTTTAAAGTATATACTTCATTTATAAATATCTCTAATTGATATTCTATTAAGGATCATAAATATTCAAGTGGACATTTGAATTTTCTCTTAAAGAGTTCAGAATTCTTGAAGTCTTAGACACTTAGTCTCTTTGCTCAGTGTCCAAGGCTAAAAGGCTTCGTATAGTCCGCTATGTCTATGAAGACATAGAAAAGTCTTCATTACCTCCCGTGCTGCAACAACGCTTTAAAGTTCTGTAATTCTCTTATGCTTGTAGAAAGTCTATAGGAGGAAAACAAGTGCATATTAGTACATACAGATAGCATGATGTGCACATACTTCAAACAGCCGGTACTGCTTCCCTGAGCTATAAAACCTGGAAGCAAAAAAATCTAAAAGAACCAAAACACTGAACACTGACAATTCCGCTTAAAACAGAAATGCTGTAACTCCTACCAAAACTGACAAGTCATGGAGCTCTGGAGCTCCGTCTTCACACAGAGAGCATCCATGAGGGGCAGGTGTGGTGGTGCACACCTTTGACTACAGCACTAATGAGGCAGAAGCAGACAGAACTCTGAGTTTGGGGCCAGCCTGGTTAACAAAGTAACTTACAGGCCGGCCAAGAGAAACCTTGTCTTGAAAAGCAAAACCACCACCACAAAAAGTCTATATTGATGAGCTATGGACACAGTGCCATCTTCTACACAGTCCCTCCCACTCCCAGTACCTGTCTATATTTATGGCATTGTATGAGTAATTACTAGCTCAATGAATGCATAAGAGCTTAAAGACAGAAGTAAAACCTGGGATGGGAAGAAATGGAAAACCTACAAGTTCATTTTTCCTTATGTACTCAGGGCTAATGTAACAAAACCCAGTATTTCTTCTCCAGCCTAGTGATATAGTGCACACCTGTCAAGTGCACATACTTAAAGAGCATAACAACAAAAGTTTACATTTTTAGGTAAAATTAGGATCAAATCAAGTATTTTTCCAGGATCTCCAGGTCTTAGTGTGGGTTCTGAGCATGGAGCCAAGGGTGTGCTGAGCTATACTGCTGGCAGCGGCAGGCCAGGACCCCAGGACTCTCGACCTTGCTTCCTGTCTAGCAGCCCTTGGAGGGAGAATGGGCTCTAGAATCAGGGATGAAGCTACAAGGGAACATTTCTAAATGCCAATGAAATTTTAATAAAATAGTCAATTAAAATTTTCCCTTCTCAATTTAATTTTGTTTGTGCTTAAAATGTTTAAGTTATTTAAGATTTTTTTCATTTCAAATAATCTACATTTCACCTCTTATTTTTTTCAGACCTCAAAAATGCATAAACTTAATGTTTTCTGAAATATAAAAACGTAATCAGGATCCTATCTACCTTGTGGTTTGTATCTCAATTAGCACAGACATCTTTAAATACAGAGAGGAGCTGGGCTAAGCAGTCAGTTCATACTAGGTGTTGAGCTAGGGTCACTGAGGTGGTCAGGTTACACTAGAACAAAACCCTGCCTAGACAAAAATAAACACATGGAAGGACTAGGTGAAGGCTTTGGCATTAAGCTTGGACATATCTAAGTTATCTTTGAGTGATTGGTCTTTGAACTTAAAAATCACACTCATGGGGCTGGTGAGATGGCTCAGTGGTTAAGAGCACTGACTGCTTTTCCAGAGGTCATGAGTTCAAATCCCAGCAACCACATGGTGGCTCACAACCATCTGCAATGATATCTGATGCCCTCTTGTGGGGTGTCTGAAGACAGCTACAGTGTACTTACATATAATAAATAAAAAAAAAAAAAGACTTTTAAAAAAAATCACACTCATGAAACATACATATTAATCTCTGTCATTTGGTCCTGTTTTAAAAATAAACTTTCCCCTGTGATTTGACTTACTTTGCTCTACTGTTACAACACAGAATATTATTTTCTATGATTCTTTTTCTTCTGCTTTATATTCCCAACAGTGCATATATTTCTGTAGGTAAATTCAAATTATTTAAAAAACCATTTCTGATATAAGGTGTGTGTGTGTGTGTGCGTGTGTGTGTGTGCGCGTGCGTGCGTGCATGCGTGCGTGCGTTAGGAGTGCATGGGAGAGGAGGACTCCTCAGCTTAGGCAATACAGAGCAGAGGAAGGAAGTCATGTCTTTAACTTCCCAACCACGTTTTCTTTATGTCTACAACTGAACTACAGCAGGCAGGAGCCAACCAAAGAAAAGATTATTAGGAGACTATTTCCCTCATGAAATTTAGAAACCAAATTGAAAATTACTGGAGCTGCGAACTCTCAGTTCTTCCTGGGACTGATGGAGAACTTGGCTGTCAGCCTGGAGGCCACACTGAGCAATGGATTTAAAGTGTTTGAGACAAGGTCCTTACAACATAGGCCATGCCAGCCTGAACTCATGGTCTGTCTGCCTCAGTTTCCCAGTGCTGGGGTTATGAGTGTATGCCACCACAGCCAGCATTTCCTCTTTCTGTCAGCAAACCAAACCAAAGCATACCTTTGGGGGAAAGATAATCTTTGCAGTATGTTGAAACCTGTAGGGGAATCAGGTCTCCACTTACCTTCCAAAAGCATTTAAAAGAGCAACTATTTCCTGCCGAGTGAGCTGGAAGCCTTTAGATGGACTGTTCTCTGGAAGTTTTTGGATTTCCTTTTCAGAGAATAGTATCTTCAAGGCAGTTCCTAAACCCTGAGTCTGAAGAAAATATACACAAATTTACAGTTAACTGTACACAATAGCTACTATGAGAAATTACTCAGTGAGGACACTGAAAACTCTATGAGGGAGCTGGAGAGACAGCCAGCAGCTGGGAATGCTTGCTGCTGCTCTTCATCCAGTGGCTCAGAACCACTGTAATTCCAGCTCCAGGAAATCTAACACCCTCTATTGGCCTCTGTAGATACACACATACCCCTAAATAAAAATCAAAGATAATCTCTTTTTAAAATCCTATCAACAGAGCTTCACAACACAGTGCTGGGCTGTGCGTGGAGCAGTATTTACTCCCTCACAGATCACACACTCAAACACAACAACACTTCTCAGAAAATTTGAGCAACCTGATGCTTGTTAAACACGTTTTTGTTCCAGATCACTAAAATGCCCGTTTTACCATCAGAACCACAGTATTTGACTTGTAATCTTGAAAGCACTACTTTTTTTTTTTTTTTTGTAGTACTGGGGATGTAATTATCATCATCTTTGTAAGAAAATATGAGAGCTGGGCGGCAGTAGTGTATGCCTTTAATCCCAGCATTCCAGAGGCAGGCTGATCTCTGAGTTCAAGGCCAGCCTGGTCAAAGAAAGTTCCAGGACAGCCAAGGTTACATAGAAAAATCCTGTCTTGAAAACAAAAACACAAAAGAAGAGGAAAAAATCCAGCAATCTCTGTCCTCTGATGACACAGGCCTGCCCTGAGTAGCTTCTGTATTCTGTGCTCAACAGCTTTTCACCACTGAAACAAACCAGGTCTGAAATACGATGCTTAGGACATGGATTTTTCTTTATACAAATGTATCTAAGATACCGAATACAAAAACCCTTACTCATAGGTATCCAGCAAGTTTAGTAAAAAATTTTCCATAAAGTTTGGTAAAGTCTTTCCATAACAACACAGAAAAGCCAACCATGGATCTACCTGTTTGTAAACACTAATTCAATGATCAAAAGATATCTTGATAAAACTGAAGCAGAAAAATGTAAATCTATGAAAAGTTAAAAAAAGGAAAGAACTCACACACACCTGCAGTTTCCCCCACAATCTGCATTTATCGCACCCAACACAGTCCATGATTCGGGAAATGTTCTTGAAATGTAACCGGAATTCCTCCTGGTGTACAAAAAATATCTGAATTAGACTTTTGTAATTAAGATACATTTGGCTGAGTTACACACATAAAATAAATTTTTAAGGTTTACGAGTGACTGTTTTTCAGTAGTTAAAACGATCTGAATTTGTATAGCACAACATACTCCATTAAGCAGCAGACGTTAATACAAGTGAAGATTCCCGCTGCGCATTATTTCAGCACATCTTACTGAGAAGGCACCTTAACGAAGGGCTGGGAAGCGAACAGTGAGAGGCCTTTACTTGTAGGAACTGAACTGTTGCTTACATTGGGTAGCTTCTAGAATCTAGTTTGTCAGGGTATTTTCTCACAGCAACAGAAAAAGTTAAAGTAAAACCTAATTTAGAATGTTGGCCCTAGAATAGATGCCGTTGTAAATTCATAATGCCATGCTATGTCATAGGTTCTCAAACAACAATGATCTCAAATTTATACCAAAATCTAATCTAAGTTAACGAACATTATACTGTAGGACAACTGGACGTGTGGATGAATTGAGACGTGGCTCCCACGCCACCCACAATTACCTTTAACGACTTGGCCCCCTTTTTGTCACCTGCAAACATGGATTTCTCATCGAAGTGCATAGGAAAGGACCTGATGAAATGACAGGACTATCAGTCAGTTACCAATGAAAAATCCAAGTACCGGTCTTAAGAGTTTTGTTAGAATTTTGTAGCCCTACAAATATTTAAAATCTGTTATTTATACTGTAGGAGGGTGACAGTTCACATATACACTAATACAGCAAACTACACATGACTTTGTAATTTAGAAGACTATACTTTTTCTTTCTTATTTTTATTTATTTAAACCCAAATGTTGCCCCTCCTCCTGGTCCCCCCTCGAAGAGTTCTTCACCCCCATCTCCCCTCCCTTCACTTCTGAGAAGAGTACCCCACTCCCCACTCGCAGGGCATCTCTGCTCTCTGAAACATCAAGTCTTAACAGGATTAGGTGTATCTTCTCTCACTGAGGCTAGACAAGGCAGTCCTCTGCTACACGTGTGCTGGGGGCGGACCATCACACGGATGCACTTTGGTTGGTGACTCAGTCTCTGGGAGCTCCCAGGGGTCCAGGTTAGTTGACACTGTTGGCTTTCCTATGGGGTTGTCATCCCAAGACTGCATTATCTTAAGGATGCAGAATCTTAAGGAAATTAGTACAAGTATTTAAAAGTGAAAAACATTCTCCAAGTATGTCACCACTCAATACTCTTGGACACTTTAATACGCAGTGTATTTTAGGTGCTTCCCATCTACCTTCTCCTTCATGCTTAACCAGTGGATGTGTTTTACAGGCTAAGGAAGCTTTAAAAGGTTACATTTTAGAAGGTAAACTACTGTGGTGGTTTGAATATGCTCGGTCCAGGGAGTGGCACCACTGGGAGGTATGGCCTTGTTATAGGTGTGGCCTTGTTGGAGGAAGTGTGTCACTGTGGGGGTGGGTTTTAAGACCCTACTCCTAGCCACTGAGAGTCAATCTTCTCCTAGTGGCCACAGTAGATCTCTTAGGGCATCCTGTACCATGCCTACTCAGGAGATGTTGCCTTGATGATAATGGGCTGAGCCTCTGAACCTGTAAGCCAGCTCCAATTAAATGATGTCCTTATAAGACTTGCCTTGGTCATGGTGTCTGTTCACAGCAGTAAAACCCTAAGACAACTACCTTTATGTTTGCTGTAATGCTTACATATGTAATGCTGTAGTGCTTACGACACTATGCAACTTTAAGCAGTAACAGAAATACTACCAAATTGGAGGGGCATTTTGATGCTATATAAAATCTTAAATTTCTTTATTAAAATATACATAGCCTGTTTTCAAGGGTAAATACGTCTGCAGCCAAGCTTCAGAGAAGCTTTTTGTTCAGCATCTGGAAAACTACTGTGCTACTGTTGCTTCTGTGTTCCTCTTTTCTAACCTCTAGTCAGGTCTTTATCACCCCTCACTCCACGTCATCTGAGCGGTGGAGGATTCAAGACGCTGAAAGCCAGGTCTTACTTTGTATCATGAAAGATGCTGAGCAGAAGGGTCTTGGTGTCCGCATCATCTTCCAAGTTGCCAGTATAAAGATCAACAATTGAGCGCTCAAAATAAGGGGCCACCTTTGACAAAGCACGAAGCTCTATCAAGTATAAAAAGTACAGATTCTTCAGCCTTCTTGGACCTTCCCCCTTTGTTTCCACAGAGTCAAAGCGGCGTTTAAATTCTTTGATGTTAGGTCCCCAACTAGGTTTACCCCAGGTTTCTGAAAAGAAAAACAAATACATTATCTTTCAGCATAAAAAGTTTTTGGTTTTGCTCTGCAGAATGTGTTTTACTTTCCAACACTTTTTATGATATCTAGAAAGTAAAAAGTCTCCATTGACGAAATCCGATTACCTTCTAGAAGATAATTTGCACACAGATGTAAATTGATGCTGGCATGAAGTCCTGATATAAGCTTATAGAAGACTCTTTTCTCAAGACACAAACCTATTCAGAAAAACAGGAAAAAGAGAACCCATACACATTAGATACAAAATACCAAACCAGAGACAGTTAGTACATTGGTTTCAGGTTAATATTCAAGGACACTGTTATGGCTGAAATGTGCAGTGTCCCTGCCGGCTTAGGTGTGGGATGCTTGTTGCTCTGGTGGGGCCTAGCTAGAGGAAATACAGCAGGGGGTAGGGGGCAGGATCTGGGGGGTGGGGCAATAGTACACACGTCTGCTTCCTGTCACTCTCTGCTCCTGTCTTCAGTACTAGCTGTCCTCTGCCACACATTCCCTCTCTCACGATCTGCTCACAGGTTCAGGGCCAAGTACACATGGAGTGAACCCTCTCAAACTCTTGAACAGCATAAAACTGCTCAGTTCTGTATATTAAAACTTTCTTAGCTATGTTGGTCCCCTGACATAAAAGTAACTAACACAGATAATAAAAACAAATCAGGAGATAACTATATAGGCAATTAGATGAAGATTTTGACTAGAAAACACTAAGATTCTTGTTTCAGACTAGACTTAACTGAGTATGCCGATGAAAACTTAACACAGAACAAGACAGAAAGGCCTGACCCCTGAAGGTGTCCCAAACACTGGATGCAGCTGGTTCCTAGGCTACCTGAAAGCAGTCGCATAGGTTTCAGTTTAGACTAAGAATGCACTATACACAACTGCCAGGATGAAGTCATCGCTTTCTTTGCCTTAGCAATCCCTATGTGGTCCTGTACCTTCCCTCTGTGTTCTCTGAATCTACCTTGTGGTGGAGAAAGAAGGGCCTTTATGGCCTCTTGCCCTGGGATGGGCTGATTCGTCTATTGACATATCACTCTACTTACAGAGAAATAAAACCTAGAAAACAGACTCCCAGGAATTTTAAACACTTTTAAAAAATTGCGTATTTATAATACAAGTCTCACCGTGTGGAATTCAAGGGTGTGATACAACAAAGCCACTTCATGTAGCTTTCTTAACTCACACAGGCTTCTGCTCAAAATTTATGGCAAATACAAACATAATCCCATAACCCTTCCCCTTCCACTGCTACTTCCTAAGATTTTCTTTTATACTAATATACATAATAAGTGCACTAGTGATACCAAATAGTAAACTTGAAATGGCTAAGTCAGGCCTGGAGTAAAACTCAGTAGCCAAGAATATGCTTAGCATGCACATGACCCCGAGCTCAACTCCCAGCACTAAAATAAAAAAATAAAACCCCAAGGCTAACATAACATGGTAATTCACACTGTACTTATTACACAGCATGAAGAAAGGAAAATTTTAAATGAATATTTTTATAGAAAATTTAAAAATAAATGAAGATGCAGAATAATAAATTTAAATTATGATTTACTTTCCGTGCATGAATGTTTGTTTGCATGTATGTATGAGTACTATGTGCATGTGTGATGCCTGCTGAGGTCAGAAGAGGGTGTTGGATCCCAGGGAACTATCGTTACAGATGTTTGTGAGCTGCCATATGGGTGACAGGAACCAACTCGGGCTCTTTGTGAATGCAACTAGTATTTAAGAATCGTTAGAGGAAGTTTTTCTTTACCACCCAACAGCTTTGTTTGCTTTTTAATGTCCTTCCTACTGGGAAAATGTAAACACTGGGGCACCGTCTCATTTCTGTGCTGGACAGTTTTAACTAAGAGCATCTATGGTGCTTCTTGTTGGATCTTATCGAGGGCTCTCAGACCGTTTACTCCTTACCCACAGATGGCTCTGAAACATACATCCTCAAACTAGGAAAAACAATTCTTTGGAGATCTCATTCTCTAATTCAAAGTGTTATAGAGACCAAAATGTAGAGATTAAATTTTACTTTGTAGCTTTCTCCAGAAAGCATATGTCAATTTAAAATGTTTATAACAAGGACTACAAATTGCTAAAATATTAAGTACTAACTTCAAGGAAATTTTCCTTCAATACATAATCAAGCAATTGGTCAAATTTGAGGTTCAATTTCTATTTCTTCCAACCTACCTGTATAAGTAGTGCTTCTGTTTTACAAAATGGCCAAAGTCTAAAGAAGGAACAGCAAGTAAAGCCAAGTTCATGATAATTCACAGGCCTAAATCCAGGGCCTGAGAAACTAAAAGGAGTTCCTATCTGCAAAGCTCACAGACCTCATAAGCTGGAGTAGAGTGGGCATAGTAAGGACGGTGGAGCAGAAATATAAATTCTGTGACCTGGGTGATCTCAAGCAAAATGCTGACATCAAAGACATGCCAATTGACTGCACCACAAAGACACACAACACTGGCAGGAAATGCTGCAGACCTTCTGGCCCAGTCTAGTGCCAAGATCAGGCTTTGTTTTTCCCTCTTGCTCTGAAAACACACAAAAGACAACCTGCAACAGCCATCCCACCAACTTCTAGTTCTAATGATCCATAGCAAATTGACTACCCAATTTAGGGAGAACTCTTTTAGATTTAATGGCATTCAAATTACTTTTCAACAATGGGTTTAGGGAACACTGAATATGCAAACATGTCTCTCATAAGAGGGCTAGATTTACACTGCCACAGAATTGTTCTGCCTTTGAGTGTCACTTGACTATTTTCAAGAATCCTTACTGGTATCATCCCTACCAACAGTGTAGGTGGCAGCACAACTATTGTCACCCTCCAGCTCCAGAAGGCAAAATCATCTCAGAAAAGGCTGAGCCAGTTGCCTATAACTAGAAGTGCTCTCTGAAACCACATTCAGGGACTGCAAGCAGCAAGCAGGGCACTGGTGGAGTAGTTGATGCACAGTGCCTAAGGTCAAGCACTGCCCGAGACTCCATTCTCCTCCTCCATTATCAGCATTCAAGTCTCTGACTACCTCTCTGAATCTCCATCAGAAGTGCCAGCTTGTGGTCCATGTGTGGCATGCATCAAAGAGTATCATAAATGCAATCCAATACATTTGCAGACCCCAGTACCATATCACACTGTCAAAATGTTGGATACCTTTGATTTTAATTACCTTCCATAATGTTCATCCTTAGAGTAGACTTAAGTTACGCTATCTCTTACTAAAAGTATTTTCCAGCACAACTCATGATGGTATTCATACATGTTCACCTTATAATGACCAATATATACACATGGTTGACTAAGAACAAATTATGTTCATAAGAGAAAACAGGCAATTAACAACCAACAGAATTGACTACTTAAGAGTTTAATATTGCTGGAAAGCTTATGGCTATGAAACAATGATTTCTCTCTATCATTCAACTTGCTAATCCTCCACTAATATAAAACAGTATAGCATGATTTCAAAATCATCATATTCCCAGGTACTAGTCAAAGCTATTAAACGCCTAGACCATTTAGCTTTTAATCAATAACTTTTATATTTCCAATATAGAAAACATGAAGAATGAAAAGTGTACTGCAAACTATATTGTTTATTGTTCATCAGACATATGCAGACAAGTGGACATGGGTAAACACGTTATAGCCTTCTGAATTTAATTTACCTTGTCTTGTTTTACATATCACAAGTGCTTCCTTACTAAGAGAAATATCTCTACTTTAAAAAGTAGACTTGTTTGCTAGTTACTAGTAAAATGTGGATAAGACAGGTAAGACTGGGGAACCACCTAATGACCCTTATAGCCTGTATTCATCTGGTACTAACTTTTGGCTCCCAAAAATCCTCAAGATTTTCACATAATTTTATCACAAAATATAACAAATGAAACACTGTTATTTTCTTTCAAATATTTTTAAGTATCTGTTGTATAGATAATCAACCACAGATATAAAGTTTACCTTCTAGCCACGTATAGAATGATTCTCCTTTAAAAAAACAAACAAAAAAATTTTGGTTAAAATATTTTAAATATTCATGTATAAACAATAAATCAGATCATTTGAGGACTACCTCTAGAAATGTCTACTCCTCTAGACTAAATAGTAAAATGGGCCTATGTGTCTAGAAAAACCCACTTATAATTTAAATAGTTCTGGAGAGTCTTCTTATAGATGTTTTGATTATTAAAATATATGATAAGACAATGCAGTGTAAATACTAAAATGTATCTTATTAACTGAATGTTTAAATGCAAAAACATAGGCACAAACAATAAAGTTGTCTGAGGTCACAAGCATAGTATTTAATTATACCAGTAAACCATGAATATAAAAATTAAATTATAATTACTCAATTTTTCTTAAAGTCAATAAAGGTAGGTATGTTTCCTTAATTATCTAAGACTAAATTTCAAAGGATACTGTTCATTATACTACTTAGAGTGACTGTGACTCATACATATGGGACCTAAGACATCTCCCTGGGACTGAGAGGACAGTGGTAAGAAACACATCCACACCAAAAAAAAAAAAAAAGCTGGGCAGTGGTGGCACACACCTTTAATCCAAGCACTTGGGAGGCAGAGGCAGGGGGATTTCAGAGTTCGAGGCCAGCCTGGTCTGCAGAGTGAGCTCCAGGACAGCCAGAACTACACAGACAAACCGTGTCTCGAACCCCCCCCCCCCAAAAAAGAAAGAAAGAAAGAAAGAAAGAAAAGAAACACATCCACAGCACAGCAGCAGTAAGTTCTACCACACAGCATGAAGACCAGAGTTAGCAACAATGCCTTGTGTTCTTATAAACTGGTGAGAGTTTGTAAGTGTCTTTGCCACAAAAAGAAGCTAAGTATACAAATTTATATAGCACTGATCTTGTTTAGCCACTCCCCATGACACATGCTTCAAAAAGCTGTTGATAAATGTGCATACTTTAAGAGAGACTTGTTCCTGGTTCAATAATGCTCTCTTGAGTTAGGGAGGGAAAGAAAGGGAAGTGCTGCTGTATTTTCCGAGAGAATGACAGAAACCTCGGCCCACAGAGGTGCTGCCCAGTCTCTAGGATGAACCTTGAGAGTTCTTCTGCATCCTGAGTGCCCTACCTCACCCAAAACACTGCAGGCAGCTTTCTGTAGCCATCGGCTCCTCCTACACTGGCTAGGGAGTGTTGCTGTCACACTTAACTCAGCCTCACCTGGCAGCTCCCAAAAGCTTCCATGTGGCCTCTTAACCCATCCCCTTAGATGATTTCAATCCTTCCTACTGCAAACAAGCCACACAGGACACCCTAGACTTCCTGCCCAGTTCCTAGGCTTGTGCTATTCTAACAAGCCGGCACTAGCTAATTCTACAGCTCTACACCTGCTCCTTTAATTCAGAATCCATCTTAAAGACCGCTTCTTCCAGGAAACTTCTCTCATCATTTTCTCATGCATGAGGATGCTTTGTTTCACCCTTACCGAGTTACACCTGCTGGTGGGGCTGTGTGTCTGAGTTTCTGTGTGTTTGTGGCGTTGGTTGTATGTTACATTTGACTTCCTCTGTACATCCTTGGCTCACAGAGGGAATGTGTGCAGCTTACACATCCTCTCAGTCTGCATAATGGCACTGAACACAGGTAAGGAAAAACCAACTGGAATAATTTTCTGCCTGTTTCATAGCCAAATGCTGGAAAATTGTCTTTATAAAATTAAGCACACGACTAAAAACTGAAAATGTAACTTTCAAAGTCAATAAGAAAATAAAGAAGTCACAAATTATCTGATAAAAATAACTGTTCTACATCTTCTCAGAATGTTCATATAGATAAAAAATACTATCCGTTGTGTTATGTGGGTGGAAGAGAGGTTTTGGCATGTCTAGCAAATGTGTGGAAGACACAGGACAAATAAAGGGAATCAACTCTCTTCTTCCATCACCTGGATCCTCAAAGTCAAACTGAGCCCATCAAGCTTGGCAGCAAGAGTCTTCATCACCAACATTCAAGATTTAACAGAAAACGGGAACCTTGGAAAGTGGACCTACTTTATATAGTAAACATTTAGGTTAAATGGTCATTTAGGTTAAATGGTCTCATGCTTTTTTTTTTAAAACATAAAACAACTTTATATTAAGAAAATCTCATTTATTACCAGTCACCATTCATTTCTGAAAAAATAGACTAAGCCATCTGCTTTAAAAAAAAATAAAGAAAGAAGGAAAAAGGAAAACATCAAATATTTAATAGTAAAAAGATTTCTTCCATGGTTGAAATAAACACAAGAGTTTCAACTCACCATCATCTTCCCCTAAAAGAAAAAAGAGAACGACATTATAAGATGTCTTACCCAACTCAGATTCCAGCCCTGCTAATGAATGTGAAGCTAATCGTCTCTGTTAAACTGTTTACTATATCGTGAACTCTGATCACCATTGCAAGCATCCTGCAAATAGGGTTCTTAAAAACATAGGTGAAAGAGTACAAGAGTTTCACAGTCTACAAAAGAGACCGATGGAGGAGGGGGAAGAGGGGAAGAAACTGAGAAGGGAGACAGAATTGGGCCTGGTAACACAAGTCCATAATCCTAGATACTTGGAAGGCTGAAGGCAGGACCTTCACGGAGTTCAAGGCCTGTCTGGGCCATGAGTTTTAAGCTGGGGTGGCAGCTCAGTGAGACCCTGGGGAGCTGGAGTGTAGCTGTGCTAAAATGTTAATGTGCACAAGGCCTGGGATTTCCATCTTCAGCACATTAAAAGATAGGAAGCAACTGAGATGGCCAGAGGCAGCTAAGTTCAGTACTTATCAGATATAAAAAATATCCTTCAGTCCCATAAATACCGCCTCTGTGGACAGCATAGTTTCCAGGCTGGGTACTCTTCTAGATGGTTATTCTTTGGCTCTGAAGGCCTGAGTGAGAGTGAGGACATCTTCCTGGGGTGGGAGAGGCCTAAGGCTGAGCTGGCTTCACTGTTGTTCTGCCTGTTGCCTTTGTCTGACAGATTCTGACAGGACAGTTTATTTCTCAAGAAAAAGTTCTGTTGCTTAAAACCTTTTGGAAAAACAGAGGCCTAGAACTGACACTGCTTCAGGAATAGAGTGGAAAAAACTTTATCCTGAGCAGGCAGAGCCCTCCATCCATGTCAGTAGAAAACCCACCAATAGCATCAGCCAGAGCTGCAGGCTTTGCTGAGTAGCAGAGGAGCTGTGTCCACTTCACTACCCTGGCCTGTCTTTAAAAATTTGTCCCAGGTTTTCTTTTCTTCCATCTTCTCTTTGTTGATTTCTTTCCCCTCCTCCTCTTTCCAGCAGTTTCTTGTCCAATTTATGGTAAATTGAAACAAAGTGTTTCTTTGTATCTGGCATCTTTTCTTTAAAAATATTAATTGTATTTTCTACTTTGAAACAAAGTAACCACAGGAAAGGTCTGAAGAAATGCCTTCCTTAACTGTAACAGGGAACAGAAGAGGGAGGGATATCCTCTTGTCCTTTATATAGCTTCGACAGTGTCTCAATTTTTCTAACATTTTGTGGAATTAAGACATTGAAGTTGAAAAACTAAAGTTATGATGTAAAACCAGCAAGTGACACAAAAAATAAGTTATGGCCACTCTGTTCATAATCCCAACCTTACCAGGCAGTTTCAGAATGAGCTTGGAGAATAGCATTTTGCCTAGATAGAGCCAGCATCTAAAAGCAATGCCTACGTTCAATTATTCCACCATATCTATTTGGGCCTCAGGCCAGAAGGTACAAATCTACATAGGAATTTTAACTTTTTATCTCAGGCCTGACCTGAGCTCTGGACTGGGAGGTCCATCTCAGGGATTTGCTGCTCCTAAATAAAAGGATGAAGATGTCCCACTAACTACAGCACGCTACACAGCTGAACAGCACGTTAGCTACTATGTACCTTAAACAGCTGTTTTTAGAGGTATGTCTGGGCACTACAACCTCAGTGTCACATGCTGTGGGCTAAGAGTTCTGCCTAAACGTGAAGGTTCTTATGACAATGGCAGATGGCTCTGCCACCATATTTACATCAAGTGAACTAAACTTAAATGCAAAACTGTAATTCAGGCTTGCACCAACCATAGAAACATTTAATGGCCAGCTGGAAACTGGCCACTTTGTGGAGCAGTGCAGGGACTGGAGCAGTATTGAGGGCAGCCAGATTGCCTGCCTTCTCCATCATCCTTTCTGTGCAGAACATGGTCCACAGGTAGGTACCTCAGGCAATACGAAGTATGTTAGATAGGTCTCTGGTGGGGCACAGTGCCCTGTGTTGGGTGCTCATCTGGCTCCCAGGTAACCTGTATGCACTGTGGGCAAGCTGCGATGAGCTCCTGACTCTCCACCTTGGTTGTACATCACCAACTAGGACACTGTTTCTCCACTTGTGGGTCATGAGCCCTTTGGGGTTGAATGACCCGTTCACAGGGCTCACTTAAGGACCATCAGGAAGTACAGACATTTACAATTTACATAACAGTAGCAAAATTACAGTATGAAGTAGCAACAAAGATAATTTTATGGTTGTGATCACCACAACATGAGGAACTATATTAAAAGGCTCCAGCATTAGGAAGGTCGAGTCACTGAACTAGTGTTTAAACGCATGGAGACAGGGTCCTCACTCTCTGGCTTCTTAATTTACTGTTAGAGGGCAGGACCTGGCCTCTAGAGTTTGAATTTCTCAGGAAATCTGGGGTATGCATAGATCACTCCCATCTTCTTATCTACCCTACTCCAAGCTCCTACTTTAGGACCTGGCACTGAACTCCAGAAGACATCCAAGCCTATCAACTCTGGCTTGCCTTAATCACTAAAATTATGCGAAATATAAAATTGTTGCTTGTTTTTCTTCAATTTGAAAAAGCATGAAACGTATGGAAAACCTACCTCTGCTGGGTGCCAGAGGATTTAAAGGACGATAAACAGATCGAGGCCTGAAAAAGAGCACAAAGCTCACCTGTAAAATGGTTTAGCTTAGATGGAGTGCCTTCTCCAACATAAACAAACACCTGCCTCTCCCCCTCCGGCCCTCAGTTACTTGAAGCAGTTTTCTTCATAGATGCTGTTCCACACCCTCCATGCTGAGGAGCCCTTGTAGCCGGTGTACCGCTCTGGGTTCAGCAGCAGGTCCACATACTGTGCAGCAGGAGATCGCTCATCTGCAAGGAGCAAGTGGTAAGGCCGCTCACCTCACTACTCACCTACAGCTTGGCGTCACGAAGCAGTAACTCCCAACCAGGGAAGGTCCTGGTTCAAGTCACCTCCACCTCACATGCTTGAGTGCTTAGTCCCTGTGACGGCACTTGACCTTGAGTTTGTAGAACTGGGACAAATTACTCAGGACAGGAAAGAACAACTTCTCCCTTTCTTTGGCTTCTCAAAGTTCACTCAGGTAATGTGACATTCTCTACCTTAGTTATAACCACCCAGGAATAAAAAGAAATAAATCAGATTTATGTGACTGTTTTTCTTTCTATAATTTCTCTATCTCAACATAGACTCAGAAACACTATTTTGTTACATCTTATATTACAAAGATTTTCCATTATTCTCCACAGAATAATTTGGTCATTAAACTTCCTCTTCCTTTCCTACTTGATAATGTATTTTTCTGTCACTGAACACAGTGCATTAGATATTCATTGACTATGGTCCCCATAATCATAGGAAAAACAGGCAACCTGGCCCATGCCCTTCAAGGACTACCTGCTGCTATCATGACTTATCAGGAGGATAAAAAGGTGACCACAAATTGTCTTATTAAATGGATTGAATACAACAGAGATAATGGAAACAAGAATTTACAGAATGTAAGATCTTATCTCTAATCACAAAGCTATTTCATTACATACATTTAGGCATAGGAAACAATTACAATTGGATATACAAAAACTCACAAGCAGTTTAATTTGACTTGAAACCATTCATTTAAAAAATCCTAATAAAAAAATAAAAGTTCAGAAACAGGTTTTTAAAAAGCATTGTTTTTTTTAGGAGTAAGGATACAGGAAGGAGCTAAGTGAGGTACTTGTGAAGTTCTGGTTCTTATTACCTTTAAACAAACACAAGCTTAAGAGGAAAAAAGTATGTCTATACACATATATAGAGATGTATGTATGTACATATACATGTATACATGCATATACAAATATATATAATTAAACAAGAATTGTTAAAATGTACTATTTAATTTCTATTTTTCCAGAGTAATAAAAAGACAATTTTTTTTTTACTGAGTATACTTCAAGAGAGCAGAGGCCAGGACAGGAACAGAATGGCCTTCTCTTATTTTATTTCTAATTTCTGTATCATTCATTTTAATTTATTTATTTTTTTATAATTTATTTTTTCTCAAATCGTAATTCATTCACACAGGGGTTATAAACTCAGGAAGGCAGGATGTACAGAAGGGAATGACACTGGAGTGTGGGTGATCAGGGGGAATACAGATATCATCAGAACCGGGTATCAGCTCGGTGAAGGTTCAGGGAACAAGTCACTATGACTCTGCCTATGACTCACTTGTCCTTATCTAAGTTGGTATTGTCTGCCAAGGCTACCTATTTACAAGGTCTATGACTACTCAGGCTGGTAAATTTCCACAAAAGCTGCCTGTTTCCATTAGCTTATAGCCATCTGTTTCAATGTTTTTCCACTGAGACCCAAGACTTGGTGTTAGTATACATGTATGACAGGCCTATTGCTGATTTTAGGCCTATGGCTGATTTTAGGCCTTGAGTGTATAAGCAGGGCTGGCCCTGACATCTGCTATCATTCGTTTTTAAAATCATGGTTATTTTGTATGCTTGTGCACCACATCATGCAATTCCAAAAAAGGCCAAAAGGGGGCGTCAGATCCCCTACAGTTATAGACCGCTGTGCACTGCCATGTAGGTTCTAGAAATTGAATCCAGGTCCTCAGTAAGAGTAGCCAGTGCTCTTAACTGCTGATCCATGTCTCCAGCACCAGTTGCATTATTTTTAATTTCTTTGAGCTATTTTTTAAACTCTGTAAAGCAGATTTGGTTATAAATAAAACTTCCTGAATATCACTGAATGTCACTAATGTATTCTCTGATATAAATATGCATATATAGACATATTCATTTTAAATCTATGTATACGTGTATATATACACATATATATTCTTATATATGTATATATCATGTGTGGGGTCTGCTATGAATGTGTAGGTGGGTCTTGTGCCAGTCTCCTTACCAGAAAAAACCCACTCAGCAACTATAAAGAAAAGTTAGTCTGACATCAAACCATGATGATTTTCAGTATATTTTAGGTCTGCAATGTAGCACAATGAAGCCATCCTTGCCTCACATGTGTGAAGCCCGTGTTTGATACTCAGCAGCACGGATGTATCACCCACACACAAATCATCTAAGAGTCTTAACAACGTTTTTTTGTTTGTTTGTTTGTTTCTTGTTTTTTGTTTTTGTTTTTTTTGGTTTTTCGAGACAGGGTTTCTCTGTGTAGCCCTGGCTGTCCTGGCACTCACTCTGTAGACCAGGCTGGCCTCGAACTCAGAAATCCACCTGCCTATGCCTCCCAAGTGCTGGGATTAAAGGCGTGTGCCACCACCGCCCAGCTTGTTAACTACGTTTTTAAAAAGTGTTAAGCAATTATATCAGTTTTTAAAAAACTCATTAAATAAAACTTCTGTTCTTGGGGCTGGAGAGATGGCTCAGTGGTTAAGAGCACTAACTGCTCTTCCAGAAGTCCTGAGTTCAAATCCCAGCAATCACATAGTGGCTCACAACCATCTGTAATGGGATTCTGGTGTATCTGAAGATAGCTACAATGTACTCATATAAATATAATAAATACATCTTAAAAATACTTTTGTTCTTGGTTTTCTTTCATTTAAAAAATATTTTAATACTTTTTTCAAATACTTTTTCGTACTTTTTGTGGCTTGCTGCTGGGAGGGATGATGACGTGTCAGGTTCTGCTTTCACGTCACCTGGCAGCACTGAGAGAATGCCGCAGATGTGGACTCTACCAAACCTCCAAAATTTATATTTGCATTTACTGAGAAACCCTGTCCAGCCCTGACCTGCACTGATAAAGACTTCCTTCTGTCCAGAGTGAGGGATGGAGCTACTTCCCATAGCAGCGCCGAGGTCATCCTCCCCCTAGGCCAGCTGTGACATCGATCCTATCTAATTCAAACAGAAAGTGTATTCTCTCACAATATAATATAATCCCTATGCCCCTCTCCCTGAAAGTTTTCTTCTCCCTACAAAGATATCTTTTTTTATTTGACCACACTATTATATAAGGATTCAAAGACTGGGATTCCTAATTCTGCAAATTTATCAAACTGGATTAATATGTCTTCCCTCAAATGTAGCATTGTTGCAAATGAATTTTCCTTTTACTGTCCTAATTTAAGTAGCAGTGGTATGAGGTTGCATCCCATTTTCTAGTGTACCAAACACAACCCAGTCACTTTACCTACACATTTCTTAAAATACAGTGTAGTATGGGTCAGCTCACAATGCAGACTTGTTGCATATGTTACAGATTAAACAAGTTAAGATTCTTGGTTGGGCTTATAAGTCCATCACCAACCTTATCTAATTTGTTCCAAATTCACTACAAAAGCATGGTCTGCACACTCAAGGAGAATCCATAGTTTAGAAAGCTCAAGTCATCATAACAGCCATATTTGGAAATGATTACTTTGAACAATGTTTTCAAAGTATTAATGAACATGCCCTACCCATCACATTATTAAGTCAAGTTCATTTAGCCAATATTCAACTTCCATGGCCACGCACAACTCTGGACATTAAGAATACAGCTCTGCAACAATACCAACCAACCACAGCTCCCAGGGTCTAAACCACCAGCCTGGGAGCACTTAGGGAGGGACCCAGGGCTTCAGCTGAATATGTAAGAGTAGAGGGCCCTGCTGGGCATAGGTGGAAGAAGAGAACCTTGACCTCATGAAGGCTGGATGCCCCAGGGGGAGGGAATTTGAGGGTGGGGAGGTGGGAGTGGGGGGGTAGGTAGGGGTTACATCCGCAGAGAAGGAGGAGGGGTGAGGGGATAGGGAGGGTTCCTGGGTGGGTGGGGGATGGGGTAAGGAGACAATATATGAAATGTAAATAAAACATCCAATAAAAAAAAAATACAGCTCTGAAGCCGGGCGGTGGTGGCGCACACTTTTAATCCCAGCACTCGGGAGGCAGAGGCAGATGGATTTCTGAGTTCGAGGCCAGCCTGATCTACAGAGTGAGTTCCAGGACAGCCAGGACTACACAGAGAAACCCTGTCTCGAAAAAACAAAACAAAACAAAAAGAATACAGCTCTGAGTCAAAAGGCCAAGCCCTTGTCCACAGGTATATCACAGTCTAACTGAAGAAGGCAGACAGCACACGAACCAAACCTCATAAGTAACAGGCTGTATGTACTCAGAAACATGTTGGAAAAGTGGGCTGGGCAGAAACCAGCAGTGTGGTACTGAGGGAAAACAGGTGACTTCTGAGCAGAAATATGAACTAAGGGAAGCAGCTGCCAGCTGTGCATAATACTAACATGGGAACACGGAGAGCAGCTTGAGTTAGTGGGTATTAAACCACAGACCTACTCCTTCCAAACAGAGAAAGTAACACCAAGAAGACATCAGAAACAGGTGCATGCAGGTATTTTCATGAATATATTTGAGTGAATAGTCTTGAGATTTTAATTTTAATTCACCGAAATTAATACAACAGGCACATCTTAAACAATGATCCTGGAGCCTGGCAACAATAACAAGTGGCAGATATAAATCACTGGGGCACAGGTGGACACTGCTATTCAGAGGAACAGTAAGTAGCATAGTTTCATATGTATAGAATTATATAAAAGTCCTAAGTGTTTTAAATTCATCATCTTAAAAATCTTAAAGTAGAGCTAGGGAGATGTCTCAGTGGATAAGATACTTGCCTCGAACGTATAAGGACAAGAGTTTGTATCCCAAGAGCCCAGGTAAATGTTTGACAGGAATGGTGGCCACCTATGTAATTCCAGCACTCAGGAGGCAGAACTAGGGAATCCTGGAGCAATGTGGCTGGAGTAGCTGCACTAAGAGAGCTCTGGGTTCAGTGAAAAAGCCCGCTTAAACAAATATTCTTACAAGATATACCTTCCATATTTACAATTTAAGAAACCAATGTTCTGGTTGGTTGGTTGGTTGGTTGGTTGGTTGGTTGGTTGGTTGGTTTTTCAAGACAGGGTTTCTCTGTGTAGCTCTGGCTGTCCTGGAATTTACTTTGTAGAACAGGCTGGCCTTAAAAAAAAAAAAATCTGCCTGTCTTTGTCTCTCAAGGTGTGTGCCAGCAAGTCAAGTCCGATGAAAACAGTATTTAAAAAAAAAAAAAGCCAGGCGGTGGTGGCGCACGCCTTTAATCCTAGCACTTGGGAGGCAGAGGCAGAGGCAGGCAAATTTCTGAGTTCAAGGCCAGCCTGGTCTACAGAGTGAGTTCCAGGACAGCCAGGGCTACACAGAGAAACCCTGTCTCAAAAAACAAAAAACAACAACAAAAACTGGTTAAAATGGGCATGGTGGCTGTGGTGGAACTGTCTGGAAGGATCAGAAGATGTGGCTTTGTTGGTGGAGGTGAGTCATTGGGGTGGGCTCTCATCTTTCAAGACTCCAACCATTCCTGGTGTTCCCTCTGTCTTGTGTTCCAGGTTCAAGACAGAAGTTCTTGGCTATTCCTGTCATCATGCCTTTACTCTACCACCATGAACTCTGGCTGCCTGAAACTGTTAAATCCAATTAACTGCTTTCTTTTATAAGTTACCTTGGTTGAGGTATTTTATCACAGCAATAGAAAACTAAGACAATCTGAGAATCCTCTTCAAATCTTTACAAAGCAGCATCACCACCTGAGAACCCTGAGGGGCTTGGGAAGTTTCTGCTTCCCACACTCCATCCCATCTGTGTAGGCCGAGGCTCATCGCTCTTTCCCACTTCCCACAAGTTACCACGACAGTAAAAAGTGGAGAGAGGTCAAAGGAATGATTTGAATACACAGCGCAGTGGAAGTATTCTCTCGAAAATTTGAATTATGGTAATTCTCTTTTGCTAAGTGGCAGTCACTTGGCTGGCCAGTGCCCTGCCAGTCACCCTTCCAAGGATGCTTGGAAAGAGGGCTATGAGGTCATCAAGTCAGAGTCCTCCCCAGTACGGAGGGAATCGCATGAGTCGAGACAAATTTTCATGGCCTGTTCACAGAACTAGAACCAAGTGATCTAAAGTGAAGGCCCACAGGAGGTGGCATGCTGCCATGTTAAAAACAGGTTTGGGATTCATATTTAGGACTGAATCACGCCTCAGCCTCTTGTTATTATGTGATCTTGGGCAAGTTATTTGTTTTTTGAGGCTCAAGTTTCTCATCCATGGAACAATGTGCATCTAAAGAAAGCTGTAAAGTTCAGAAAGAAATAGTCTATCTATAGCCCTTAGTACAGGGCCTCAAACATACTCTCTCAATAAATGCCACCATCAACAGTAATGTCTCCCCAGAAACACCCAGTGTGAAAGCACTGACTCAGATCATATTTTCAATGGTTCAGATGTCTTATAAAAGCTTCAGGGTAAAGGATGTGACAACTTATTACCATCAAGTTCACAAAAGTGATCCTGCGAATCGTCGTATCTTGCCCAGTCAATGAACGCTTCTCTGCTTTCGTTACTATGGGAAGAAATAAAAAAAAATTATATTTGGAGCTAAAATTTTAACATTGTATTCTAGTGAACAAAAATAAAGATAATTTCTTCAGAAGATGATGCCATAATTTCTAGCAGTAGTTAAATCAAGGAATGATAAAATCAAGTCATGAAAAACAGTGTTATCACTTTCCATGGGTTGTTTATATTTCTTAACTAGTTTAAAATAATTCTTAGCCCTAGATCAGTAATTTGAATTTAATTTACAAATTATATAACACATACAAAACTCAAGGTCACCATTCCAACTGACATATAAATTGTAGTATTTTTTTTTAAATAGTTTTTTTTTAATTCTTTAAATTTAGGTTGCTTCTATAGTTATAGGACCCCCAAATACCAAGAACTTTATTATATTGACTGACTAGTTTATGCTGCACGGGCTCACACTCTGCATGCTAGGCTAGTCCTCTTACCACACAGTTGATTCTCCAACCCTTGGATTTTTTAAACAGGGTGGTGTTATGTATCTTAGGCTGGCTTCATAAACTCCCAGTGCTTTTGTCTTCACCATCAAAGTGCTGGGATTGCAGGTGTGCACCACCCACGAGTGGTGCTGCACTGTTCCCCTCTCCCAATCCAACACAGGATTCACAGTTCACCAGCCAGTGTGGTCTGCCATTTATTTTACATTCCATCCCACATTGTTTTTTTTTTTTTTTAAGAATCTATGGTAAAGCAATGAGCTCTGATATAATAAGAACTAATCACATTCATTCTAATCATCTCCGCCCCACATCTGCTCTAATCTGTATTCAGGCCTTCTCATTACTTGACGCACAGTGGCAACAATGATTAGAAAAGCTCATGCTGCTATCCTTCATTCACTACACAAAAGGGGGCGGGGAACACAACAGGTAAAAACCTGTGAGGAAGTGTGAGATGGGGAAGTATGGGTGACATATGTACAAATGTCCAGCCACGAAGTTGTCTATTTCAAATATGCACATCACACTGTTATTGTCAGTAGACTTAAAAATAAAGTTGTTTAAAATTATAATACTAATTGTCAGAGAAATGCAGAACTAGGATACCTCTCTGTGTTCCTCTCAGTGTGTAGCGCACATGCGTGTCATGCATGGTGTGTGTGTGTATTTACACATGTGGGCATGCCAGTGCCAAGCTGCACATGTAGAAGTAAGAGGACAACTTCTGGGGAGGCAGTTCTCTCCTTCTACCTTGTTTTGAGGCAGGGTCTCCTTGTGGTTGCCAATGTGTAGTCCAGCTAGCTGCCCTGGACTTCCAGCCTTTTCTCCTAGCCCTACCTCCCATTATGCCACAGTCGTACTAGAATTACAGGTGTGCATCATTACATGGCTTTTAACATGGATCCCAGGGATCAAATTCAAGTTGTTAAGTTTGTGTGGCAAGCACTTTTGCCTACTGAATTATCTTGCTGGCCTTAAAGTATGAATTGTTATAAACCACAATGTAATTTACTATAGTAATTTCGAGAAACCATTTGGCAGTATTTAACTCCACTTTTATGATTATTCTTAGAAATGTACACATTTACAACCCAGATGTTCCTAAAATGGCTTCTAAGTGAAAAACACCTATCAATAGAATTCCAACAATAACATAGAATACTATGTGCCAACCAAAAAGAAGTGTTTATACATTCAAGAACATGAAGGAAGCCATAAATATACTTTAAAGAAGACAGACACAAGATGGTTATGATGCCACATACCAGTAATCCCTGAATTTAGAAGGCTCGGGCAAGGAGAATTATGATTTGCAGGCCAGCCTGAGATCTCATCTCAAAAGGAAAAAAAAAAAAAAAAGGAAAGCTAGGTGTGGTAGTGAATGCCTTTAAACCCAGCACTTCTGCCTTAGAAGGGAGAGGCAGGCAGATCTCTATGAAGTTGAGGCCAGCCTGGTCTGCATAGTGAGTTCCACATCAGCCAGGGCTATAAATATAAAGTAAGACCCTGTCTCAAAAATAAAAAATTAAACAAAAACCGACCCACAAATACAAAGGAAAATATTTTATATTATTCTATTTGTGGTAGCAGCTAGGAAAGTTCACATGGTCCTCTGGGTAGTATGGACACTGCTAGGTTACAGCTATAAAGGTAAGTTCACTCTGATAACATCTTACTGTTCCTGTATTAATTATAGTTAAGGTTTATTTTAAAGGCTTCTCATCGTAGCAGGTAAGTAAAGTACAACACATTACACATGAAAACGTCTACCAGTTAAAAGAATGAGTTAAGTCTGCTTCAACTCATGCCTAAAAAGCAAACTTACAATCAAAAAATACAGAGGACTAGGAACATAGCTCAGTAGCACAGCACTTGACTGTTCTAGGTGAGGCCCTGGGTTCAGGCCATAGCCACATAAACAAACAGTACCTAAAAATGTTGACATTCATTTGAACAGTGATTCTGTAGCTGTTTTTATATTATCCTTTCACATTTCTACATTAAAATTTTAATAATATAGGTTATTATCTTCATATAACAAAGATATGAATAAAGGCCATTAACTTTATGATTTAATAGCAATTATAATTTATAAATATAAATCTAAACAAATAGATCTTTTAAAAGAATTTATGAACATTGCATCCCAACTACAAGTCACACCCAGTCACTTTATACTCAATAATCTAAGATTATAAATTATTCTGACCTTCAAAAGCAACTTTCTGTTTAGAGAAGTAAAAAGCCATCAGAAAAAAAAAATTGAAACTTAAATTATGCTCAGAGAATGATTTAACTTTTATTACTGCAAATACACAGCCTGCATTACTGCCTGTTAAAGATTCAAGGGCTCAGATCCTTCCACACAATGTTCATGAAAAGCATAAAAGCCCTGCCTCCTCTGGCATTATTGCTGAGGCTAAAATAGGACAAAGGATACCACAGTTAATGCAACTGTGGGCATTATTCTTTTTAGAAGTTTATTAGCTGAAAATGTAATGGTTAAGTAAAAAATATTCTATCAAAATCACAAGCTGGGCAGTGGTGGTGGTGCATTCCAGCACTCAGGGGGCAGAGACGGGCAGATCTTTGATGTCAGTCAGGTTGGTCTACAGAGTTCCAGAACAGTCAGAGCTACACAGGGAAACTGTCTCAAAAAACAATCACAAAAAGTCACTGACATAAACAAACTAAGTACAAGTAAACTTGCCTTAGTGTGCTGTTGATGGCGCCCAGTTTGTTAGCCTGCTCACAGTCATCCAGTTCTTTGGTGGTGTTTGCTGCTTGCGAGTACTACGAGAAAGCTCACATGTAGTTAAATGATAGTGATTAGCTCTTCTTTAGCAAGCAATGATGACATGGTCGATCATCAAAATCTTTACAGCTAGACTTTTTTTTTTTTTTTAAAAAAAAAGACATGAATGTCTACCATTAAGTGAGCAAAGGCATTAAAAATGCAATAGTGTACTGGTGATGATGTCATTGGGGAGAGAAATTAGATAAATATGTATCTAGAGTTTTACAAACACATAAATCCTTAGAACAGCAGTCTTCAACTTAGACAATAACCCAAGGCAAATTTATTTTTTTAATTTTACAATATCTTAGTGCATTGTATCATTTTAAAAAGCTGAGATACCCAGGCCTTATGGTTCAGCATCACTTCTATACACAGGACTAGGGAAACATTCATGTGCACACAATGAGACCAGGTACAAGAATGCCAGTGTTTCCCTGGAAGAGCAGAGAGCCAGAATGACTGGGATGTCCACATTCAGGGTGGCTACTGTTAGTCACACAAATGACTAAGGCGTAGCTGGAAAGGGGGAACGCATAAGATCCAATATGTAAACAGAGACAGAGGCTTACAAGCAAAAACATTGAGCCAAAATACAAACTAAAAAGTATTTCCAACTTGAAGACATTTATATTAATAAAATTGTTTTTTCACTTTCCATAAAGTAATCTATATAGTATTGTACTGAGGACACATGCTCTGAAAGTGTTACTTATAGACAGATACATATGGAATAAGAGTAGAACCACGTAAGTCACTTCAGGAAATGGCCGGCTCTGGGGAGGAGGAAGTAAAATGGGATTAGAATGGTTGGGGGAGTGCAGGTGAGCATCACTACATGAGAGAGAAGGATAGAAGAGGGAGACAGCACAGGAGGAGGTGAGCATCACTACATGAGAGAGAAGGATAGAACAGGGAGACAGTGCAGGAGGAGGAGGCAGAGAGAGTGGGAAATCTTCATGTATGTGCAGCCGTGCAAGATGAGAGTTACCTGACAGCTAAGAGCATAGCTTACCCCAAATAAATAAAAATAAAAAGCACAATGAATACCTTAACACTATTTCCAAGTACTTGGCTCAAAATAGCTTGGGAATACTTCATACAATATATTCTGAACCTAACAGATACTAACTGAAACAGAAGACTTAAAATAGTTACTAGTATTTTTGCTGCAATTACAGTTGAGTTTTTCTATCTAGAGATTCTGAAAACAGATATATTTTCAAAAGACAGTAGGCATGCATAACCTCACTGCTTGATTCAGGAGTTAGCTTTTTGAACTCCAAGGCCAAGAGCCTCCATATAGTCCCAGGTAGACCCATGACTCTCTACTGTCCCCACTATCCAAAAAAAAAAAAGTCAAGGAAGAAAAGTAACTCACCTTATTTGAACGCCCGGCTTTAATTCCAACTGGAATTTTACTCTAAAAAAAAAAAAGAAAAAAGAACATTACTTAAAAGACAGTCAGAGGGATGGTTACTCTCAGAGAAGACAGTCAGAGGGATGGTTACTATCAGAGAAGACAGTCAGAGGGATGGTTACTATCAGAGAAGACAATCAGAGGGATGGTTACTCTCAGAGAGAAGGAGGGGAACAAAAGGACACTGGTCTCAAACGCAGATGTATTTTGCTTCCTATGTTATGACTTCTCTTTTAAAAAATTACATTTATGTGTATGACCTTCGCCAGCATATACACACACGTGCACCATGTGTTTGCCTACTATCTATGGAAGCCAGAGACGGTACTGGGTCCCCTGAACAGTGGTTATGGGTGGCTCTCAGCTACCATTTGAATACTGGCAACTAAAGCCAAGTCCTCTATAGGAGCTGCAATTGCTCTCTCTCCAGTCCCTGTTGTAAGTTTTAAAATAAACACTGTGTTTATTTCTTACTAGAATTTTATCACAGAAGTGGCTACAATGCACTACATATGGAAAGTAACTGATAATTTGAACTTACGATTAGAACACTCAATTTAGAAACCTACTATGAACCAGCCAGCATTGTGGCTCACACACACATACCCCTACCTGGAATGTAACACTCTCTTGGTATTAAACATAGCCTTTAAAGAAAAAAAACCATTGAAAACCTGCTCTAATTGGATTTTCCTACTTTATGCACTGAAATCCCCATTTTAAATGTGAAGTTTAAGGTCCAAAACTTCCCTTTTTGCCTATGAAACAAGATGCAGATTCAATAAAGCCCTTGTAGGTCTAATCCTAGAATAAGCCTCTGATCGAGATTCAGACCTATGATTTAGAATCAGTCCACAACCCATCACCCAACACCACTGGATACACAAACTCCTCAACCAATCTTTTAAGAAGTCTAGTCATAAGAGCCGAAAGCTGATGAGTCTGCTGACAAGTCCAAACACAAGGATACTGGCAACAGGTTATGACTTTTTTAAAAGCCAAGAAGCCAGTCTGCCCCCTCTCCACCCCCCATTATCATATTCTTACTTCTGGACAGGGCTCCACATGACAATCTTTTATTGAGCAGTGGCCATCTTCTGCCCAGAAAGGACATGGTCGTTTCAGATTAACCTTTGCAGGAAGAACAAGTCAACATTAGTAATTGGGCATGATAATTATAGAATGTTTTCAGATACCACTGGTGGGCAGTGACTAGTCGTGATGGGGAGGGAGATGCTGCTTGACCCTTCGGCGTGTACACAGTTCAGATATTAAATGACTACAGCTTTGCAGGCATTCGGATGGAGTGTTAACTTTTAAAACAAATGGCTATAGGTCCTCTGTCATTGCAAAAGAGGGACAGCATTCAAGATCACTGCTCATTTGAAGCAGGGCTGTCACTGGGCAGGATTTCAGAATGACTTTAACATTCATTCCCCAAACACCAAACACCTTAGCCTTAGGGCTTCAGAACTACCTTAGTACGTGCTAAGCACTGGCTATCTGTCAGACACCAGGCTAGGCTCAAGGCCAAAAACAGCCTTCTCTTCTAGGACTTATACTAAAGAAAAATCAAATATGCACACATTTATCTCATTGCAAATTGTAGTGCGTTTTCCAAAGGAGGACCCAGAGTGTTGTAGTAATAGTGCCGAGGGGTGGAGCCTCTGAGGAGACCATAGCGTAGGAAAATGAAAGGTGGGGGAGATGTGCATTTGGCTACAGCAATGGAGAGCTTTGATGGTGCTAAAAATGAAGAACCACCAGTTCCACCATTTTTGGTGGAAAAAGAATAAACAATAAGGGTAGAGGTCACGTGGTAACACTGATTCCCATATTCTTCATACAACAGGAAGTTGATAATCTGACAGGACTTACCGATGTATTGCCCAAGCTAAAACCCAGAGTTTTCCATTTCCTCTCTCGTTGCGTTCTACCGCCTCCACCTCCACCATGTCTCTTGCCCAAGCGTCTGCAATAGTTTCCCTCCTTCAACCACTACCTATTCACGCACCAACAGTTATATCAAAACCAAGGCAGACCTTTGCAGTGTCTGCTCAGAATCTTCCTGTGCAGTTCCAGCTCTCTTGGAGCAAACCCATCCCTGCAGCAGCTCCGCACACACTACTGTGTAGCCATTGTCGTCTGCCTCTCTTACCTCATCTAGTACACTGCATCCCTGCTTGATACACCAGGCTCCTTAAGCCCCAAAGCCTCTCTCTATACTGCCCATTCTCTTTGTCTGAATTACCGTTCCTACAGAAGGCCTGTTCCTCGACCTTACTCAGGTCTCTCGACAGCAGCAGGCCTTGACTAGACACTCTAAAGCAGTACTTCAAATGTAACCAATCCCCAATATATTGCTGTATCATTTTTGTGTGTGTTTGTGTATTTGTGTATGTGCCATGTGTACGTGCTCACAGTTTTAAAGCTGGCCCCTGTCTACCTCTCCAATCCTCCTCCTCTTCATTCACCTGCTTTCTGTGGCCTAAGCTGCCTTCTAATTCTTCAAATATGCTAAGCTTACTCCTGTGTCAAAACTCTTAAATCTATTCACTCGACTTTCCTGAAATGTTTTTCCCAGATCTCACCACCACTTATACGTTTACATTAGAGAAAGGTCTGTGCCCAAATATCACATTAGCATAAACACCATCCTTTCCTGATCATTTCATCACGGCAAGGCTATCTCTGCATTCCTTATCCTCACCCCATTTATAGTGTCTCCTTCTTTGTTTTCTCTATAGTAGCCACCTTAATCTGACAATACAATTGAACGTCAACTTAATTATTGTTTGTCTCCCTAAGCAGAACAAAAGCCTTGTCTTACTCACTGCTGAATGCACAGTACCAAGACTAGAGGCTGTCACAAAGTCATCAGTGTGACCAATTGCCTAGCTGCAAAGGTAGGTGGTTGCTTCTATCTCCAGCTCCTTGTTCCCAGAATCCCCAGATTGTATGTGTATGTTTGAAATCAACTTCTCTTAGATTCCCATTAGTATAGTATACTGTGAATTGATGTTTCTGTTTATCTCACAGGCAGGCAGAACTAGAAGTGGAGCATCTTTCTCTCAAATACCTGCCTGCTCCTGAGATGAAGACATCAGCAAGATCAGGGCTACACCCTCTTGGGGAGTAGGCAGGAATAAGATTAGTCATATATGGAACAACCTTATCATTTAGAGCATTTCTAAACGTTGACTGTCCACATTGTTATTTCTGCCTCACTTGGCTTTCATTTTCTACTCTAACAGTCTCCTAATTTCCCTTTCAGAAACAATGATCCCTCGTGCTCCTTTGAATAGCACTGTTGCCCAAGGTAGTCTTCCTTCTTTTGGTAAAGGTATCACATGGCTTCCTGGACCAATCATGATTCGCTCCTCCAGAAATGTGACTCTTTTATAAAGAACAAGAAAAATGGGGAAAATAGTTAATTTGGCCTGAATGTTTGGTCTGAAGGGCTGATGCTACAGCTCAGTGGAACAGCACTTGCCTAGCTGTCCTTTATCCAACCACCACAGCGCTTTGTTAGGATGAAGAGAATGCCCATTAGTGCCTGCTCTCCTTTCATCTTTTCTGACGTGTACTACTTCACCTTGTCTTTTAAGTTTGTAAACTACTCAATTATCCTCTCTTAAGCTTCTGTTTTGTAGTCAACAAAAGTATCCTACTTAGGATATCCAGGCCTATTATTTCTTCAATTTAAAAATGTGGATAATAACAAAAATTTCACATGAAGATTAAATGAGATATCCATTTATCTAAATGTTCAATTCCTCAATGTGTCAGGCCTTATATGGATACAGAAATAGAAGATGCAGTCCCAGAGAGAGGTGTGCTGAGTGAGGGTTGGGACAGATTCAGTGGAAATGTTACCTGGATCCTGAATGAAAGCACAGTCTCTGAAAGCACAGTCTCTGAAAGCACAGTCTCTGACAGCACACACAGTTGCTACTGCATTAGACTGAACCGTATGAAACTGGCATGTTCAACCATTTTCAAAATATTAAGGTAACAACTTCATTTTCATTTATCTAACATTATGAAGGAAACATCTACACACATAGCCAATCATTTCATTATATCTTTGAAATAAATCCACCAACTTCATTCCCATAGATTCTGTACAGAGAAGAAACATGTACTCCTTTCTGGATATTCTTTGTATCTGTGGTCAGGGATGGATTCCCAATCTGTAATTTTCTAATTTATCTTCTTGGACAATGTATAATTGCCAAAAACTAAATTTTTCACCCTCAAAAATATTTAAAGAACTGATAGTCTATTCAGAATCATGATTTAAAAAGAAACCATGTTTAAATTTTAGAAAAAATTAAAATAAAAACTAAATTATGCCAGGC